AGGTAATGAGTGGAGAACAGGAGGGCTTCTTAAAGAAAAACTAACAGGTCTGTGAGAGCCGGAATTCTTACTGGTTGGTAGGTGATCAAATACTTATGTCATGCAATAAAATGCAAATGAATTACTTAAAAATCATACAATGTGATATTCTGGATTTTTGTTTTAGATTCCGTCTCTCATAGTTGATAAAAATTACAGACCTCTACATGCTTTGTAAGTAGGAAAACCTGCAAAATCGGCAGTGTATCAAATACTTGTTCTCCCCACTGTATTTCCAATAGGCCTAGATGAATGTCCTCTTTTTCTTCTCCCAGTAAAATACGAATTAGGTTCAAGATTAGGCTAATTTGTGAAAATAAAGGATATAGTGATGTTTTACTTCTTCTTCGCTCAAAGCAATGGTTTATTAGCTATCTATCATGAATAAACAAATAATCATCACACAATTATTTTTCAGATTTGGTCTGTCTTAATCCAATAGGCCTACTAATTTCATTAAGTAAATTGTTTGTCTATGCCTATTACAATCAGCATTTTAAGATGAACTCGAATAGTTTGATTATAATTTCCAGTTAAATCATTTTTTCATTAGAATGCGCTTGTTTCATTACTTTACTCGAAGCGCAGCCGAATTTAATGACTTCTGACAAGTGTGTGCCTCTCTCCAACACTTGGCTCGTGCGTCCGGTTTGCGTCTTTTGTTGGTAATGGCAAACACTGAAAAGAAAAAGGTTCTCCTTTTACCCTCCACCACTAATCCCGTCAGTGAAATTTGGTCTCATTTCTTCTTGTCTTGCTCTGACAGGCATGCATGCACTCCAATTTACCCTCGTCATGGGGGGCTCTAATCTACTCATCCGGCGGGGTTTGATCTCAGTCCTGCCTCCTCGGTTCAATGAGACGCTTCATTAAATTTAATATGAGGAGTGTGCCAACAACTGTCAGGACCTCCTACCACGTGTTGCTGGAGCTCTCCAACTGTGACCACTTTACAATATGTGTATTATTCATTTATTTTCTGATTTTTGGGGAGGCCGTGGTCAGAGGAAGGAAAGCGTGGGTTACCGCAGTTCTAATGTGCGCAGAGAAAACAGAGACACCGCTAAATCGGATTAGATTATACACATTGGGTTTGTGGCCTGCCTGTCAGTTATCCTAGCTTTTATAGGCCTACATTTATTTCTATTTATTTGACCCAATGTTTTCCTTTATCTCTTTTGTGAGCATAAGGCTACACCCTTGATTTCAATTATCCAGCCAACAAATCCCTTTGTGAAGATGTCAATGAAGGCCTAGGATTTCTCATAAAGGTCTATTACTTCATAAAATCTATTATTTTCCATGGTTGCAATTATCAAAAAGTAGTTTTTGGCATTTTTTGGGGGCGAGATAATATGTTAGCCTGCTGTGCCTTTAGCTTATAGGATAAATCTTAATCAAATAATTAATAGACGAGCTCTAAAAGTGGCCTGATCGCACTCCTCCCCAGAGCCAAGCCCCATGCGCACAGCGATCACTCAGATGGACCTAATCCACTTTTGATGAACTTGGTTAATAGACATCCTGCTGACATTATCGAAGGGATCCAACTCTATTCATTACGCGCACACGACCCTTGCCACGCCCATAGCATCCTCACAAGCATTTGTCAATAAATTCTCCCCTCACACCAGAAACTTTTTTAAGGCACGGGTCTAGAAGTTCAGTTACGTCTGCACGGTTGAATCTATTCCATAGTCAGGACAATGCAACGCCGCAAAAGTCTATTTGCGCCACACATCTCCAGAGACGCAGACACTGGTGCTGATTTGAAAGTGCAAGTGCATCCTATAGACCTGCCACATGGAGCTCTTGTGCAGAACAGTTGGATAGAGGAGAGAGCAGAGCACAGGGGCGAGTGTGACACGTGCGCTATTGGGGAGCTCAGATTGCCAGGGCTTGGATACATCGAGCAGGACCAGAGCACCATCGACAGAGCGCAAAGGCGGCGGCGCATGGCTGCAAACGCCCGGGAGAGGAGGAGGATGCTCGGGCTCAATTTCGCATTCGACCGCCTCAGGAGCGTCATCCCTAACCTGGAGAGCGACAAGAAGCTGTCAAAGTCAGAGACGCTTCAGATGGCGCAGATATACATCTCGACGCTCAGCGACTTGTTGCAGGACAGGCCCTGCGTCGCGGAATTCAGCAACACTGTACTTGAGAGCACGGAGCAAGTGGACACGGCCCCAACGGGAAGGCCAACAATGAACTCCACAGCAGAAGACGCAACTGTAAAGCTACCTGGGCAAGGTACATATCATATATGTAGAGACAGTGGAAACGTGACGTGCGCGCCTTGCGAAGACCAGAAGACAGAGCTGCGAGGGTTTATGAACCTGTGGGAGAGAACTAGTGGCACGAAATAACTGATTGTATTTGTTTGTGCTTAGTAATTTGTGCTTTCCATACAAAACACGTTGTTTCTAGTTTGAAACCTTATGTAGATTATCTGGCTGAAGTAAAAACACATTTACGCATCAATATGACTTTTATCTAAAAGTTTTAGCTTCTTTTGCATGTCTTAAAGTTATAGGGGCAGCTTATGCTGTGTAAAAACAGGCAATAGATTATTCTTAAACATGATACAAACGTACAGAAGTGTACAAAAATACACCAAAAGTATCAGACAGATATACTGAAAGTAGCAATTTTATTCTAGTTAAAATTATATACAGGTAACCAAAGACATTCTTGAAATTGGTACAAAGATCATGTTCCTGCATTTGGCTTTGTATACCTTTTTAATCGGACTTTCAAATAACTGAGAAATGCTGTATAAAATAAAAATAGGATTGGATTCAGAAAAGTAGTGTACCATTTCTAAATTTCCAATAGGCAATATTTACAAAAGTATTTACATTATTTCATTCATTTCCAGATTTGTGAATAAAGCGCTTGTAAACTTTAGAAGTGTTGAAATAGCTTAGAAAGTACTGATGAGGATGTGTATGGAAAAGGCTGAAACTTAAATGTCTGCAATGCTGTGAGAAACAAAAACGACACGTTGGAAATACACACCAAATGAGAATAAATGCAACTTTAGAACATAAATCTTAGACCCCAACCTCTCATCATCCAAGCCGGGATAACAGGATTTTAGTTTTATGGGAGAAATCTATGGGAAACAGCATAGGACCAATGCAGTAGCTGACACTGTGCTTCAGCCAATAGCAGTCCCTATCTAGCCCGAAATTAACAAAACTGAGAACGCTGGCTATGAAACATTATATTAATAGCCATCACATTATGAAACTCAGATGTATGGGTACAGCAACTGCTAGACTGGGAGGCTTGGTTCATGAACAATAGTTATCTTATCATTTCAAGTACTTAATTTAAAAAGTTTGAAATACTACAAATATGGTAGTCTTCCAGTCCAGTTGATTTATTATGTTGAAATTAATTGAGAAAAGCTTAATAAAGCAATTGAAGCATTGCAGAGAGAAAGGGACTTGTTTGTATTTATTCAGAGACAGAAGTGATGCTTGAGAGACCGGAAACCAACAATGTGTGAAGTGTTCTACAGCCTTCAACAGATAGTCTGAATGACCACAGTGCATCACCTAACAGAGGCTCTCCAGTCCAAATTAAAAGACACAAAATCCATACTTTCCTGTTGGCCATAACTAATAATGATGGGGGTAAGTATACACTAAATTATGTAGTTCTCGCACGTTAGTGAAAACTACAGATGGGGACCATTTCAGGTCTGTCCTTGAAGAGCTAGAATCTCTGAAAGTATTGACTTGGACAGACCGAGAGGTGAGACTCACCAAACTAACAAATCTGTCTCACCCTCACCTCTTGGTGCACTTTGAAAGAGAACTCAAATCTATTCGAACTGGACAAAAACTGGTTGAATAAACATTGTTGCCACGTCATTTCAACAACAAAAATGAATGTGATGTTGAATCAACGTGGACTACTGATTGGATTTGTAAAAAGTCATCAACATAAAAGGCATTTCATCTTTTGTTCACCCAACTTTTAACCTAAATCCAATGACATGGTGAAATCTTGTTGATTTCACGTTGAATTCATATTAGTTGACAACTCAACCAAATGTAACAGACGTTGAACGGACGTCTGTGCCCAGTGGGTTTTGACACCCTCCACTGAACTACAAAGAGGTTTTTAGAACACACAAGAAAGCAGAACAGTCGTGAAAGCAATAAAATGGCATCAGTGCAGAGGGGTTATGGAGCTCTGGAGGCTTTCAGCATTTCAAAGAGGGCTGAGAGATCGAGCTTTTGTGCTCCTATTCCAGTTGTGTGGGTCACTGCCCAATGCTTTCTATGGATTCAGAGGGGGGAATTCAGGCACACAGGCACTTTGATGACAATCGAAAGTTAACAGAGGATGGAGGCAGGGAAAGAGCCATCTTTTACTGCAGACAGAAAACAAAACCCAATACAAAGGAGGAAGTGATGTCACAGTCTGCCCCTTCCACAAAAACATGTCCAGGCAGATAGCTGTAATAAGGAGGGGAAATATCAATTTGGAATACAAGGAGTTTTTATATGAATGTACAACCTGACCAGCACAAGTAGGGACATCTATTAAAGAAAAAATAATCTAATTGAATGAATATCAATGAGTCAATCATAAATTATATTTTCATGAGGGAACAGAAAATCCCAATGTTGAGAACAAAGTCTAGAATATAACGGGAGGTTTTTCGGATTTTCTTCTCTGGTTATTCCAAGCAGGCTTCATAATAATAGGAGGTGGAATGCTGAAAGAGTGCTTCAGGCCTCACGTGTGTGACGGAAGACCATCACAGTTTGTATAGTGAACGTGGTGATGACAATGATGATGAAGATGGGTGGTCGTTATTAGCAGGCTGTGTGTGTGTCTGGACTCTGGGGTAGGGTCTACCCAACTGTCCTGGTCTCTGTGTGAGGCGAGCGGTCAGTCCCCAGTGTGACCAGTGTGGTCCCTTCCCACAGAGGCAGGCCTCTCTAACAGTGCTCCAGATAGTCAATGACCCGAGAGATGGACTTCTGCCCTGCGGTGCCCACATCACACTATGGAGAGAGGGAGGGTGGGTGAGAGGGAGGGAGCAGAGGTCAGTTACCACACACATTGAAGCATTCTCCACACAACATCCCTATTTAGACATAAGGCTACAGGAACCAGACAGGGATACTACTCATTAGCCTGTACAAGCTCAATGACACAATAAAGAAGCCACAATAAAGACCTTTAAAAACAGACCTTTTATGTTTTAAATGTGAGAGAACTTACTGTAAGATTCATGAAATTGAGGAACTTCTTGAGCATTTCTGTCATTATTGAGAAATCTCCTTTGGGCAGGCTTTCCCTCACAGTAGTCACATTCATCTGAAAGAGAAGACTATGAATCAGAACTGAAACCTTTGTTAGTTCTACTCACATGTCCAATCTCTGATGACATAAACCACAACAGGCAGCTGTAGAATGTCAGTGAACAGTAATTATAGTGATAAAACGAATCCCCATTATGTTCAAATCATCTCTTCGAGGGAAGACGCACCAGAACCGTAACCACCATAACCAAGGTTGGCCGTGCGCAGTAGATCACACGCTGGGTGTCGACTAACGGTGGTGATCGAAAATGTAGAATCATCGGGAAAATTAAATGATGTCCGATGTTCTGTGGTCAGAGGCGCTAGGATGGCCGGTCCACTGCTTTCAAGTACACTCAGCCGTCCATCTCTCTGGTGTTCCCTCTCTTAAAAGCAGTATTCAGTTAGTTTAGGCTAAAACTTCGGAATTCATTCATTGGAACTTGTCCAGTCCTTGTAGTGAAGCCAACCAGTTTTTTTGTTTTGATTTTATGTTTGATATATGTTTTTGTTCTTATTAGAGGACAGAGGTAGCGATTTAAAGTTGGAGAGAGAGAGCGCTGAAAGAACGAGCCGGATTTGAACCCATTCTGGCAGCAGTACGTGTTTTACAGGCACGAAGTGGCTTAGACCGCTAGACCAGCCAGGCCACAGCCATTTTGTTTTAAGACAAAAGTCTTGTCTAAAGTCTGAGGCGTGACATTTACGAGATAGAACAGAGAGCCCTGTCCAGATTAAAGCTACAGCCTGGGACTGGTACAGGTTTATCAGAGATAACGTCCATGGCACATCAATCACAACCTAACTGCCCATTGGGATACTCAGTTAGAGAAAGTCCATTACTAGAGATGCACTAAGCTCTCAAGGCATCATTGGATCGCTAATAACATCTTCAAAAAAGAAATGGCCATTAAAGGCGGAAAAACATTATCACAGCTTTTATTTTCCTTTCGATAGTCGGCCGTGAAACTTTTAAGACGGCAATTTTGAAGGCAACCATTGATGGTCCCTGAGAGAGGTTTAAAAATGACAGATGACGGATGTTTATTACCAATGTTCGAACGAGGCGTCGCAGACGAGTCTGTTTAAATGGTGATGTGGGTATTTGAAGTGCACGTTGGGTACATTGGAAAACAACAGCCTAGTCAGACATACATAATGGCGCCAACTCAGCACTGGCTATGTGTGTCCGTACACAATGGATTCGTTAGTCTTACCTACCTCTGGATAAATGGCCAAAATGTCATGTAAAGTCTGCGTGTCTAGTGAACAAGGCCAAACTAGGGGACCCATTATGTGATGTGGCCTCGTCTCATTGCTTCAACATGAAGGGCTGCATCGGTTCAGGGTTAGACAGTGTTGTGTAGAGAAGGGATCAATGATTTGACTGTAATTATAGAAATGATTTACGTTCCTTTATTCATCTCTTATTGCCTATTGCTTGTGTTTTTATCATTCTAATTATTTCCAGTAAAATGTGTTCCACTTTTAACTGCAATTTAAATAACATTTGATTTGATTATGTAGGGCAGCCATGCCAGTCAGAGCCTGCAGTGCGAGTGTCAGGGTGCGTCCTTACCGGACTCCCCTGACAGAGACAGCCCAGTAGCAGTGCAGTGTAAGAGGCCACGATGCTGTCCTCCATGTGCTTTCCAGCATGCTGAAGAGCTGCAGGAGGAAGGGATGGAGGGAGGAGGAGAAAGTGTCAGTCGGCAAAATATTCATAGAATAACCAATTCAGCTCCTAACCTATAATCCAAAACATGGGTTCTTCTTAATCTATTTTCAGAGTTACCTAGTCGCCATTATGCATCTATTACATTAGACTCTGTTAGCTTTGTTTAGGCTTTATTTAACCAGGTAGGTCATTACCTTTGGTAAGGTCTATTTCCTCCTCCTCCTCCTCCTTCTTGGCCTTCTCCTTCTCGCTGATGGCGTTGGCGTTATTGTTCTCCGAGGCCACCCATTGGATCTCGCCACCCGACTCCTGCCACTCGCCGCTCTGGTCCAGCTTGGGCTTGGGCACGTCGTTGATGAAGTCATCCGTCTCGGCCTCCGCCGCTATGGCCGCTTGCTCCCGCTGGAGGAAGAGCTGAGGGCACGAACACGTACGGGTCAGAAAGGGTTGCATTTGCATGGAATCAGTGATCAGTTCATCCATTAAAACAATCCAATCAATTTTTACTTGTCAATTGCGCCGAATACAACAGGTGTAGACTTGACAGTTAAATGCTTACTTGCGACCATTTTCCAACAATGCAGAGTTAAAAAGTAAGAATGTTGCACACAAAAAAATAAGGAAATAGTAACACAAAATTACAATAACGAGGCTATATACAAGGAGTACCAGTACAGAGTCAATGTGCAGGGGTACGAGGTAGTTGAGGTAATATGTACATGTACACTACAAGTCAAAAGTTTTAGAACACCTACTAGGGTTTTTCTTTATTTTTACTATTTTCAACATTGTAGAATAATAGTGAAGCCATCAAAACTATGAAATAACACATATGGAATCATGTAGTAACCAAAAAAAAGTGATAAACAAATCGAAATATATTTTATATTTGAGATTCTTCAAAGCAGCCACCCTTTGCCTTGATGACAGCTTGGCACACTCTTGGCATTCTCTCAACCAGCTTCACCTGGAATGCTTTTCCAACAGTCTTGAAGGAGTTCCCACATATGCTGAGCACTTGTTGGCTGCTTTTCCTTCACTCTGCGGTCCAACTCATCCCAAACCATCTCAATTGGGTTGAGGTCGGGTGATGGTGGAGGCCAGGTCATCTGATGCAGCACTCCATCACTCTCCTTCTTGGTCAAATAGCCCTTAAAGTCTGGAGGTGTGTTGGGCCATTATCCTGTTGAAAAACAAATGATAGTCCCACTAGGTGCAAACCAGATGGTATGGTGTATTGCTGCAGAATGCTGTGGGAGCCATGCTTGTTAAGTGTGCCTTGAATTCTAAATAAATCACAGACAGTGTCACTAGCAAAGCACCCCCACACGATAACACTCCTCCTCCATGCTTCACGGTGGGAACCCACACATGTGGAGATCATCCGTTCACCTACTCTGCATCTCACAAAGACACAGCAGTTGGAACCAAAAATCTCAAATTTGGACTCATCAGACCAAAGGACAGATTTCCACAGGTCGAATGTCCATTGCTCGTGTTTCTTGGCCCAAGCAAGTCTCTTCTTCTTATTGGTGTCCTTTAGTTGGTGGTTTCTTTGCAGCAATTCGACCATGAAGGCCTGATTCACGCAGTCTCCTCTGAACAGTTGATGTTGAGATGTGTCTGTTACTTGAACTCTGTGAAGCATTTATTTGGGCTGGTAACTCTAATTAACTTATCCTCCGCAGCAGAGGTAACTCTGGGTCTTCCTTTCCTTTCATCATAGCGCTTGATGGTTTTTGCGACTGCACTTTTCCGGATTGACTGACCTTCACGTGTGAATGCCAAGAGTGTGCAAAGCTGTCATCAAGGCAAAGGGTGGCTAATTTGAAATATAACATATTTTGATTTGTTTAACACTTTTTTGGTTACTACATGATTCCATGTGTTATTTCATAGTTTTGATGTCTTCTCTATTATTCTACAATGTAGAAAATAGTAAAGATAAAGAAAAAGCCTGGAATGAGTAGGTGTCCAAACTTTTGACTGTGTGTGTGTGTGTGTGTGTGTGTGTGTGTGTGTGTGTGTGTGTATATATATATACACAGTGAGGGAAAAAATATTTGATCCCCTGCTGATTTTGTACGTTTGCCCACTGACAAAGACATGATCAGTCTATAATTTTAATGTTAGGTTTATTTGAAAAAAATCCAGAAAAGTATTTGACCCCCTCTCAATCAGAAAGATTTCTGGCTCCCAGGTGTCTTTTATACAGGTAACGAGCTGAGATTAGGAGCACACTCTTAAAGGGAGTGCTCCTAATCTCAGCTTGTTACCTGTAAAAAAGACACCTGTCCACAGAAGCAATCAATCAATCAGATTCCAAACTCTCCACCATGGCCAAGACCAAAGAGCTCTCCAAGGATGTCAGGGACAAGATTGTAGACCTACACAAGGCTGGAATGGGCTACAAGACCATCGCCAAGCAGCTTGGCGAGAAGGTGACAACAGTTGGTGCGATTATTCGCAAATGGAAGAAACACAAAATAACTGTCAATCTCCCTCGGCCTGGGGCTCCATGCAAGATCTCACCTCGTGGAGTTGCAATGATCATGAGAACGGTGAGGAATCAGCCCAGAACTACACGGGAGGATCTTGTCAATGATCTCAAGGCAGCTGGGACCATAGTCACCAAGAAACAATTGGTAAAACACTACGCCGTGAAGGACTGAAATCCTGCAGTGCCCGCAAGATCCCCCTGCTCAAGAAAGCACATATACAGGCCCATCTGAAGTTTGCCAATGAACATCTGAATGATTCAGAGGAGAACTGGGTGAAAGTGTTGTGGTCAGATGAGACCAAAATCGAGCTCTTTGGCATCAACTCAACTCGCCGTGTTTAGAGGAGGAGGAATGCTGCCTATGACCCCAAGAACACCATCCCCACCGTCAAACATGGAGGTGGAAACATTATGCTTTGGGGGTGTGTTTCTGCTAAGGGGACAGGACAACTTTACCGCATCAAAGGGACGATGGACGGGGCCATGTACCGTCAAATCTTGGGTGAGAACCTCCTTCCCTCAGCCAGGGCATTGAAAATGGGTTGTGGATGGGTATTCCAGCATGACATTGACCCAAAACACACGGCCAAGGCAACAAAGGAGTGGCTCAAGAAGAAGCACATTAAGGTCCTGGAGTGGCCTAGCCAGTCTCCAGACCTTAATCCCATAGAAAATCTGTGGAGGGAGCTGAAGGTTGGAGTTGCCAAACGTCAGCCTCGAAACCTTAATGACTTGGAGAAGATCTGCAAAGAGGAGTGGGACAAAATCCCTCCTGAGATGTGTGCAAACCTTGTGGCCAACTACAAGAAACGTCTGACCTCTGTGATTGCCAACAAGGGTTTTGCCACCAAGTACTAAGTCATGTTTTGCAGAAGGGGTGAAATACTTATAAATGTATTTGCATTTTAATGAGGGAAATAACATTTTTGACATGCGTTTTTCTGGATGTTTTTGTTGTTATTCTGTCTCTCACTGTTCAAATAAACCTACCATTAAAATGATAGACTGATCATGTCTTTGTCAGTGGGCAAACGTACAAAATCAGCAGGGGATCAAATACTTTTTTCCCCTCACTGTGTGTGTGTGTGTGTATATATATATATATATATATATATATATATATATATATACACACACACACACACACACACACACATCTCCCGAGTGGCGCAGCGGTCTAAGGAACTGCATCTCAGTGCTTGAGGCGTCACTACTAGAAGCGTCACTATAGACCCTGGCTCGATTGCAGGCTGCATCACAATCCGCCCGTGATTGGGAGTCCCATAGGGCGGCGCACAACTGGCCCAGCATCATCCGGGTTTGGCCGGGGTAGGCCGTCATTGTAAATAAGAATTTGTTCTTAACTGACTTGCCTAGTTAAGTAAAGGTTAAATAAATAAAAAATATATACACACACAGTCATATGAGTACACCCCCTGGAAGTCTTTTTTTCTTTTCTTTTTTTTTTTTACATATTTGGACAGATGGATATGTAATCTTCACTTCAACACTATTGACAGAAAGGTAACCTAATTTAACAAATGACACTGAAAGATTATACTTTGCAATCATTTATTCATCAAAAATCAACAGAAATGAAATTCCATAGTGCGGAAAAACAAGTACACCCCTCGCATCAATAGCTTGTGTTGCCCCCTTTGGCTGAAATAACTTAATGTAGATGTTTCTTGTAACTGTCTATCAGTCTATTACACTGACTGGGAGGAATTTTTGCCCACTCTTCTTTACAGTACTGCTTCAACTGTGTCATGTTCGAAGGATTTCTTGCGTGCACTTTCTTGCGTGCACGGCCCGCTTCAAGTCCCCCCACAGCATTTCGATAGGACTGAGATCTGGGCTTTGACTCGGCCATTCCATAACCCTCCATTTCTTATTTTTGAGCCATTCTGTTGTAGCTTTGATTTTGTGTTTCGGATCATTGTCCTGTTGCAAGACCCATGTTCGGTTCAGCTTCAGCTTTTTGACAGATGGCCTCACATTCTCCTCAAGAATTATCTGGTACAATATAGAATTCATGGTTGACTCAATGATGGCAAGTTGACCAGGCCCTGAGGCAGTAAAGCAGCCCCAAACCATAATATCACCGCCTCCATGCTTTACAGTTGGTATAAGGTTCTTCTGTTCAAAGGCAGTGTTTCGTTTTCGAAAAACATGGCGTCTGGCATTGCGACCAAACAACTCCACCTTTGACTCATCTGTCCAGAGCACATTGTTCCAGTAGTTTTGGTCTTTAGCCAGGTGTTGTCTGGCAAACGTCAGTCGTGTCTTGATATTCTTTTTTGAGAGTAGAGGCTTCTTCCTTCCTGACCTCCCATGTAGGCCAAGTTTGTGCAGTCTCTGACAGTTGACTCATGCACTTCGACATTGATTGTGGCAAAAGGGGCCTGTAGATCCTTTGATGTTACCCTGGGGTTCTTAGAGAATTCTAGGAGCATCTTTCAGTCAGCTCTCGGGCTGAATTTGATGGGACGACCTGTCCTAGGTAGATTGCCAGTGGTCTGGAATTTTCTCAATTTGTAGATGAGCCGTCGGAGAGTGGAATGATGTACTTCGAATTGCTTGGAAATTGATTTGTAACCCCTCCCAGACTCATGGGCATCAATAATCTTTCTTCTGAGGGCCTCGGGTAGGTATTTTAATCTTGGCATGATGTGTTACCACACACCCATATGGTTCAGACCAAACCAGACAAAGTTTCTAATCTTTATGGAAGGCTGGACCCTCCTAAGTTTATTATTTTCTAATCATTTGCACCTGTTTCCCGCATAAGGAAAAGGCATTCTTGTTTATTTTAATTGCATAACATTTTCAAAGTTATTTTTTTTTTGTGTGATTTGTTAAATTGGGTTAACTTTATCAATGAATGTGGTGGGAATTTAGCTCAAATATCCATGTGTTCAAATATACATTTTTTTTTAAATACCACTTTCCTGGGGGTGTACTTACTTTTTCACATGACTGTATATAAATAATTCCAATAATACTATATATTATTCCATATCTATGAGATCGTATTATTGCTCTTTGAAGTGTACGAGGTCTCTATACAACCTATGAACACACACACCCCCTTCACACCCACACATACACCATTCACACACACCCACTCTTCACACTCACCCATACACTCTTCACACCCACTCTCTAACCCACCTGCACCAGGGCAGCAATGGCGGTGAGCGATCCTTCCGTCTTGAGGTCCTCTTTGTCAGCCACCAGGACAGAGTTGAAGGGAGCTCCTCCATCCATCGCCATCTCTACCAGGCAGTAGCGGTTCCTGGCACTGTACTCCACCAGGTTGATCAGCAGACCCAGACCCTGGAGAACCATCACACTTCAGACCGGAGAAATACACACTCCTACACACACACACACTCAGAGTACTGTCATCAAGACCCAGACCCTGCGCACACAAGTTGAGTCCCAAATGACACCCTATTCCCTATATAGGGCGTGTGGGCCCTGGTCAAAAGCAGTGCACTTTAAAAGGGGGAATCTGCAGTTGCTAAATACATTTGTTGACTTATAAATGACTGATGTGCCCATTGATTCTTGAAGAATTTAACTTCTTAACACCTCATGAGCTTATTAGTTTAACTGTCGTATCACCATCAGAACCCAAATTAAAAGCTTGTTTTACCCCAATGTTTGTTTACATTTACTTTGTTTTCAAACACTTTCAAGCCTAAAACTATAATTTTGATATCATGGATGGTCAAGTCCTTGTATCCTTAGCTCAGAATTTGATAGTTGTTCCATTTCTACAGCCCCATCCCTCAGCTTTTTACCAAAATAGGGAACAGGCTTTGTTATTGTTTCAACTGCCGGTTGCCCCTTTAAAAGGGAATATGGTTGCCATTTGGGACGCAGAGACAACCACACATGAAAATGGACATACACACATACGCCGTCCAATATAGTCCCCTAGATTCAAAGTACCCTAATCTATCAACTAAGTCAATTTAAACATATTTGAGCAAGTTCTTCACAGAGGAATGCTGACAATGCCTGTCAGAGTGGTTAAGATTCACACAATAGAACTGGGGCCCAAACATAACATGAAAACTCAAGGAAGTCAAAGCATCTCAGCGTTTTCAGTGTCGATCTAGGATCAGTTTTGCCTTTTTAGATCACAATTAATACAATTATATGGACAGGGGAAACCTGCTCCTAGATCTCCTACTCCGAAGACACTTTATAAATATGGTGCCCTGGAATCCTATCTAACCAAAGCCATGGATTCCACTTGATACTAGGATAATGATGACACTCACCAGTACGCGGATGTCGAACCTTCTCTCCTGAGGAAGGTACTGTGGGACCCGGAGCACACAGTTCAACGATGTCATCATCATATCCTCCTGCTCACCGGTCTTCGTGCTTCCCCACTCTACAGCCACACACAGGGGGTAGAACACAGTCACTATGGGACCTCAACCATTACAGTGCATTCAGAAAGTATTCAGACCCCTTCCCCTTAACCACATTTTGTTACGTTACAGCCTTATTCTAAAATGGATTAAATAAAATGTTTCCCTCAATCTACACACAATACCCCATAATGACAAAGCAAAAACAGGTTTTTAGAAATGTCTGCACATTTATTCAAAATAAAAAAACTGAAATACCTTATTTACATAAGTATTCAGACCCTTTGTTATGAGACTCGAAATTGAGCTCAGGTGCATCCTGTTTCCATTGATCATCCTGTTTCCATTGATTATCCGTGGTCCTCTGTAGCTCAATTGGTAGAGCATGGCGCTTGTAACGCCAGGGTAGTGTGTTCGATCCCCGGGACCACCCATACGTAAAAATGTATGCACACATGACTGTTAGTCGCTTTGGATAAAAGCGTCTGCTAAATGGTATATTATTATTATTATTATTATTATGTTTCTACAACATGATTGGAGTCCACCTGTGGTAAATTCAATTGATTGGATATGATTTGGAAAGGCACAAAACCTGTCTATATAAGGTCCCACAGTTGACAGTGCATGTCAGCGCCAAAACCAAGCCATGACGTCGAAGGAATTGTCCGTAGAGCTCAGAGACAGAATTGTGTCGAGGCACAGATCTGGGGAAGGGTACCAAAAAATTTCTGCAGCATTGAAGGTCCCCAAGAACACAGTGGCCTCCATCATTCTTAAATGGAAGGAGTTTGAAACCACCAAGACTCTTCCTAGAGCTGGCCGCCCGGCCAAACTGAGCAATCGGGGGAGAAGGGCCTCGAACAGGGAGGTGACCAAGAACCCGATGGTCACTCTGACAGAGCTCCAGATTTATTCTGTGGAGATGGGAGAACCTTCCAGAAGGACAACCATCTCTGCAGCACTCCACCAATCAGGCCTTTTTGGTAAAGTGGCCAGACGGAAGCCACTCCTCAGTAAAAGGCACATGACAGCCCACTTGGAGTTTGCCAAAAGGCACCTAAAGGACTCTCAGACCATGAGAAACAAGATTATCTGGTCTGATGAAACCAAGATTGAATTATTTGGCCTGAATGCCAAGTGTCACGTCTGGAGGAAACCAGGCACCATCCCTAAGCTGAAGCATGGTGGTGGTAGCATCATGCTGTGGGGATGTTTTTCAGCGGCAGGGACTGTGAGACTAGTCAGGATTGAGGGAAAGATGAACGGAGCAAAGTACATAGAGATCCTTGATGAAAACCTGCTTCAGAGTGCTCAGGACCTCAGACTGGGGCGAAGGTAGTCCCCTGTAGCTCAGTTGGTAGAGCATGGCGCTTGCAACGCCAGGGTTGTGGGTTCGTTTCCCATGGAGGGCCAGTATGAAAATGTATGCACTCACTAACTGTAAGATGCTCTGGATAAGAGAGTCTGCTAAATGACTAAAATGTCAAATGTAAGGTTCACCTTCCAACATGACAATGACCCTAAGCACACAGCCAAGACAACGCAGGAAGTGGCTTCGGGACAAGTTTCTGAATGTCCTTGAGTGGCCCAGCCAGAGCCTGGACTTGAACCCGATCGAACATCTCTGGAGAGACCTGAAAATAGCTGTGCAGCGACACTCCCCATCTAACCTGACAGAGCTTGAGAGGATCTGCAGAGAATAATGGGAGGAAACTTCCCATATAAAGGTATACCAAGCTTGTAGCGTCATACCCAAGAAGACTCGAGGCTGTAATCGCTGCCAAATGTGCTCCAACAAAGTACGGAGTAAAGGGTCTGAATGCTTATGTAAATATTTCCGTTTATATTTTTAATACATTTGCAAAAATGTCTAAAAACCTGTTTGCTTTGTCATTATAGGGTATTGTGTGCAGATTGATGAGGGGGGGGAAAAAACAATTTAATCCATTTTAGAATAAGGCTGTAACGTAACAAAATGTGGAAAAAGTCAAGGGGTCTGAATACTTTCTGAATGCACTGTATGTGCATAACACATTTTTTGGAAGACTAATTTGTTTAGGTGTCATATTAAAACCATTAACACACTTCTATGAATGAGCGGTGAGTGCCGCCCAGTGCCCAAGATAGTGTAGGTATGCTAATGTCCTCAAATAACCATAATCATTTTCTGTCCACTGCAGTGGCACGCTCTGCTCATTCTGTGTCCAGATGATACTGTGTGAGAGGCCATTTGGCCACGGAGTGTGTGTGCGTCTATATTGAAGTGCGTGTCTCTCTCACCATTGTCGTGGGTTAGGTTAAGCAGCACGCCGATGATGGCCCTCATGCAGTCCTCCACGGCCTTGCCCACGTTGCTGTGGCTGGCGTAGGGCAGGGCGGTGCCCGCCGAACACAAGGCGCTGTTCACTCCCGTCTCCCGGCTGTAGCGCTGGATCATCTCCTCACAGTGCCACAGGGCCCTGTCAACAACACACAGGGAAAAATTGGTTATACATTAGTTTATATACCAAGGAACAAGCAAACATAACATCAGTACTGAACCAGAGGTAGTCAGCTATATAGCTCATTTCCATTTAAGGCCCCTTATGTCTATTCAAGTTTGAGGATTCTCATATTTCAGCATTGAACTTTTAGAATGCTGATGTTGTGCTGGGAGATAATAGCCTTAATACTTGATGGGAGGATTGTTTGGCTGACAGAATGGACTGAAAGGGTCTGGAAGCCGGCTCTCGAGGGACTTCATACTGAATTAAACACTACCACAACGGCAGAGTGCGTCTGGCAAACAAGCATTAAAAAGTATTCAGGGCAACAATTTTTCCTATTGGGTTTTTGTATTATTCAGCCAACGTGGAAAAAGGTAGTGCTTGTAAACAAATGAAAAACTGGTATGAAATTATTTGAAAGCAATAACACACGTTTCCATTGTGTCTCTTTACATAATACAGTGGGTTCTTAAATTATTGACACCCTTGATAAAGATGAGCCATAATGACTGTGTAAAATAAATAATTCCAAATACTGATCTATGCTCAAAAAAGGGGAAATTATATTATTGTATACTAATACAATTGCTCAGAGAAAGAGAATTTTGAGAGAAAAAAAATTAAAGGCAGAGGTCAAAATTAGACACCCCTAAATATTCGTCTAAATAAAGTAGTCAAAAGTTTAGTATTCGATGCCATATTCCTAGCACGCAATGACTACATCAAGTATGTGACTCTACAAACTTCTTGGATGCATTTTCAGTTTGTTTTGGTTGTGTTTCAGATTATTTTGTGCCCAATAGAAATGAATGGTAAATAATGTGTAATTTTGGAGTCACTTTTATTGCAATTAAGAATATAATAATGTTTCTATAAACAACTCTACATTAATGTGGATGCTACCATGATTACAGATAATCCTGAATGATTTGTGAATAATGACGAGTGAGAAAGTTAAGAGGGTCAAAGACCATACCCCCAAGACATGCTAACCTCTCACCATTACAAGGGGAGGGTTAGCATGTCTTGGGGGTATCTTTGACCCTCTAACTTATCTGTAACCATGGTAGCATCCACATGAATGTAGAAGTTGTTTAGAAACATTATATTCCTATTTACAATAAAAGAGACAATATATTATTTATCATTCATTTCGATTGGGCACAAAATAATGTGAAACAACTAAAATGAACTGCAAACGCATCCAACAAGTTTGTAGAGTCACAAGCTTGATATATTCATTGCATGCTAGGAATATGGCATCAAATACTTAAAACATTCGACTCCATTATAAAAAATGTTGTATTATATTTTTATCTGAGCAATTGTATTAGTCTAAAATAATATATTTTCCCAATTTTTTGGAGCCTACAATATAGCTCAGTATTGTTTGGGGTATATATATTTTTTAACATACGCCTACACCATTAGGCAGACAGCATCTACGACAATACATTTTAAAGGGCAGTGCGAAGCGGGAGAGAACGGAGGGTGAATTTAACCATAAAAAGGTTAGCAACAGACGCGCACGCCTGCAGCATGGCTAACTAGCAGCAAAACAGCTTCATGCAAAATATACAAAATAATGAGATTTGAAATAATGGGGGATCATCCGTTAAGGCAGAGAGAAGAGCAGAGGCAGAGTTCATTTATTATATTAGGGGGAGGGGGGGCTGTTAATGAGGGCCTCTGAGCTGCTGTGTGCTGCTGTGTGGCTCGACCCCTCTGATTTCTCCCCCCGTAATTGAATTAGCGCGGCCGGCTGAATGCGGCTAGTGATGCCGCTGTGTGCAATGTGAGAGCGGCTCTTTGTTGACCCAGTCGGAGAGGCCTCCTGGCTGGGGGTGCAAGGGTATTAACCACGGGTGAGGCAGGGGTTAGGAACCAGATCAAGGGAGGCCAGGGCCCCGGCTGCAGGCAACGCACCCTGCCTGGGACAGGGCTAATTCAGTTATAAAGACGGAAGACTTTGAACAGATAAGTGGCTGTGGCGGGATGAGGGGCGGAGGGGGGTGGGGCACTGGAACGATTGGGCGGTGGCTGAACCTTACGAGGGGGGGGGTGGGGGGGGGTTGATATTGAAAGGGAGATGGAGACGTGGTGGAGTTTGCTTTACAGACAGGCATAGGAGTAGGGCGAGGGGGGAATGCTGTGATTGACAATGTCAAAACGTGGAAACTGGAACACACACAGCATAATGAAAACAGACGTTTCTCATAGAGCTGAATATAGACACTTTTGTACATGAATTACCCTTGTAATACAACGTAGTGTCGGTGAAGAGTCAGGTGCATTTCTGTAGCCAAAGAAGACTTATGTGAATTCTGTGGGCGTTTGTGATCCACTATATGGTGTGCATCCAAAATGGCACCCTATTCCTTATATAGTGCACAACTTTTGACCAGGGCCACTATGTTGGGAACAGGTTGACCACGCAACCTCTCAATGAGACGCTTGTCTGACGATACAGGTGCTATATGCAATACACAGTCTGGAGCTTAATGCACAACACACAGTGTGTGTGTGTGTGTGTGTGTGTGTGTGTGTCCATACAGGCCACTTACTTGGCTGAAGAGCAGATAAGCTGAGAGTCCTTATAAGCGATCAGGTAACCCTGGTTCTCTGGGTTGTGAACAGTTACCTGCACAGAGCAACAACAGAATTATACATGGAATACCACACTTAATCTCAAATCAAGTGAACACATAACTGCTCACAGAGCCCCTCTAGGAGACTCCCACTGGATTCACTGACTGAGTTGATCAATAAGCGCAGGCTTAGTGCCGAGGTCAGCACACATACACTAATCTAACCCCAGCAAACCTGCAATCTAAACCTACACTCTGTACTCGGGCTGAGGGTGAAACCGAGCACAACTGTAGGCTTAGGAGGCATGAGCAGCTGTTACTAAGATCAATGTTTCCCATTGATACTTTATAACTGACATTAAATAATATCTAGGAAGTGCGATGAGCGGGGCTCCTGACCCCGATTAGGAATTCAGCCTTCTGGTGGTCAGAAGTGTTGTCCAAGATATTAGTGTGTGTACTCACGCTCTCCAACACCCGTAGACACCTCTCGGCTCCCCACAGTGACGCCATCAGCTTCTCCTCGTCATCCTCGTGGCTCAGGTTATTCACGCATTCTTTTACTGCAGAAACAAGACAGGTCGGTTTCAACCACTCAAACCACCTAGATCAAGTAAGAGTTCGAACAAAACAATGGACACGTCATGGAAACATCATGGAAATGTCATGCGCGCGTCCTCCCTTGGGGGATAGATCCAAAATCTCCTCAATGCCGGCCATCAAAATATGCATTTAGGCTATTGTTTTTGGGTTTGTTATACAATCGATACTTGCATATCTCAATATTATTTTGAACAATATTATACCGAAACTTTGACTCCTTTTGCTAGGTAGCGTTAGCTAGTGCTAGTCGGTTGTGCCTGCGCCAATACACCGGTATTTTTCATCCTATAGCTTGTTCTCCATCTTTTTAAATAGGCAGCCAACATGTTTTCAGCACTTTTATTTCCATGACTGATCAAAACTAATTTTCTTATGCGCTTTCATCTCTCTGCAGCGGACATAGTGAGCAATATGTTTGGAACATCAAATCGCAATACATATAGAATCGTGAGAGTCGCAATACAGATCGGCATCTAAGTATCGTAATAATATATGAGGTCCCTGGCAACTCCCATCCCCAGTGTTTATATGTGTACTTCACATTATGTTGGGGTACAAATCGGAGTATAATGCGTGTATGGATGTCTCAGTCGCCATACCAACGGCTCCGCTTGGGCTGCTCTGCTCAATGAAGAGACATGAGAGCAGTTAGCTGTTAGCTACTTTGTCACTCTAAACTCTGACAAACATCAAGGAACATTCTCTGTGAAATAATCTCTCCTGTCTTATATTTGATAAGGTTGAAGCACTTCTGGCACCATGTTGGGATCTTAAATCAGATATGACTATAATCCGCAGTAAAGCACGAGCAAATGGCTCGGCTACAAAATGTTAGTCAATTTAGTGATACCCGAGCTCTGCCCGTGCCCTAGTTATATTTACATTTTAGTCATTTAGCAGACTCTCTTATCCAGAGCGACTTGAACAGGCCCTACCCGGCCCTAATCTGATGTATAATGTCGGGGTCCGTTGGGCTCGGGAAGCAGAGCGCCAATGTCAACCCCAATACATGTTCATGTCATCGTCACCAATCAACTGCATTACACCCAAAAACAACTTCAAATACCACCACTGATTTACAGTGGTGTAAAATACTTTAAAGTCCTACTTAAGTAGTTTCTTGGGGTATTTGACAACTTTTACAGCACTACATTCCTAAAGAAAATAATGTACTTTTTACACCATACACTTTCCCTGACACCCAAAAGTATTCGTTACATGTTGAATGCTTAGCAGGACAGGAAAATGGTTCAATTCATGCACTTATCAAGAGAACATCCCTGGTCATCCCTTCTGCCTCTGATCTGGCAGACTCACTAAACACACGTTTTGTTTGTAAATTATGTTGAAGTGTGCCCCTGGCTATCCATAAATTTAAAAAAGAAAATTGCTTAATGTAAGGAATTTGAAATTATTTACACTTTAACTTTTGATACTTAAGTATATTTTATCCATTTATTTTTTTACCCCCTTTTCTCCCCAATTTGATATCCAATTGGTAGTTACAGTCTTGTCCCATCACTGCAACTCCCTATGGACTCGGGAGATGCCAAGGTCCTTGACCCATGCATCCTCCAAAACACAACTCCGGCAAGCCACACTGTTTCTTGACACACTGCTCGCTAAACCCGGAAGCCAGCCGCACCAATGTGTCAGAGGAAACACCGTACAGCTAGCGACCGAAGTCAGTGTGCATGTGCCCGGCCCGCCACAAGGAGTGGCTAGAGCGCGATGGGACAAGGACATCCCGGCCGGCCAAACCCTCCCCTAACACGGACGACGCTGGGCCAATTGTGCGCCGCCTCATGGGTCTTTCCACCACTGATTTCTATATGGATAGCTATGCTACCAGCTTATCTGAACGGGAGTTAGCATTTAGCAGTCACTTTTTCTAAACCAGAAAATTACAAATTCTAAATATTATGGAGTGAAAACTGCCAAATATATCCAAATAGGATTTTAACCACACTGTGGGCCTCTTTGAACACATAAATAATGACAGATTTGATGAACATCCACTTCATTTGATCAGCTTTTTTGAATAGGCACCAATGACGGCACCCTTGTTCTATCCATTGATCTCTTACCCTATCCATTCTGGTATCATTGAGCCAAAATGTCCGGCCAGATACAACTCCTTTTAAGAAAATTGTTTCATTGTGTATTGGAATAGGTTAGGTAACCGGCACACTACAGCTCATTACCACACTCCATTCCCCCAGGTGGCAGCAACAACCTTGTCCAGATGTTGAGCCTGGTTAATAAGCACTTTAGGTGTTGCCAATTAGGGTGATTGTCAGTTAGTGTCCCAGCTTACAAGCCTTGACGCTGCGGGTTTGTTTAATGGCCATGAGGCTTTTCGTTTGTTTATGAGTCTTTAGTTTGGGCATGCGTTTGGTATTTTTCCTTTTTGTACATATGTGTTTAGTCAGGCATTGCTCTGAAGCCGAAAAAAGGAAATTCACATGAGCACCACAATGCCTACTCAACCCATACTCTACCAAGGTTTTCCAGCACACAGCTTTGACCCACTACAGCAGCTATGTTGGTCTATTTTACTTCAAACAATGTGTAGGCAGGTTGCTTGAGATTCAAACGGTCTCAAACTGTTGGTCTCCACCGTTCTCTCCTCTGTAGTAGCAAGACACGCGTAGTAGCAAGACACGCGCACACACACACACACACACACACTCCCCGTCTATTGCCACTCAACGATGCTCTTTTAAAAAGAGCCACCTAATAAGTGAAAATAAGCACAGACCGTGCGTGCGCCGGTGTGTGTGTGTGTGTGTGTGTGTTGGGAGGGGGGTGTCAAAACTATACACGAAAGAGAAATGGTCAAAATGTCTCCTCCAAGAGGCAAACCCAGGACCTTCAGATCTCGGTGACGTTAACGTGTTCATGATAGGGTTCATAGCTTATCTTGAAACTATTAAAAAATGGACAGTGGTGATGACAGGAAGCTTTTGTTGCACACTGTTTTTGTTGTTCATTTACTCAGTACTGATTGAAAATTTATTTCTCTTGCTTGGTATACAAAAAGAGAGGCTAAAAACAGTTGTGTTGAAAACAGTCACATAGCTAACCAAGTTAGCAAGCATGGCGTCTTCTTTTGACTGCGCAAAGGTCACGCAAGCAAGCAATGATGTTGGTGTTGTTTAACCTGGGTTGCACCCGCACCCCCTGGCTACTTTTTACTTGGATGGCAACTTCAGGTTTTAGGGAATACATTGAAAAGTAACTTGACACTTATAATCAGTCAGCGCAAAATGTGGATTATAATGACAATAAGAAAATTGCATTGACAGAGGGAGTATACTGAATCAATGCATAAGGTAAGGGCTGGAACATTAGCTAGCTACATTGGTAAGCAAGACATATTGACTAGTGTATGGAGTAACGTTAGCTAACGTTAGATGAGCAATGACCATTGCATGTATTATACATTAGCAGCGTGGCAGTTTCCCAAAGTTTGGTGTTGACTATGAACTTTACTTAGTTAGCTAGCTGTGCTTTGTGGAAGAGTGTGGGACATTGTCAACAAACAGCTAACATTAGAGCCTTGTTGGCTTGTAGCTAGCTAACGTTACCGCTAATGTTAGTTGGCTAGCTAACTGGCAATAGCAGCCAAGGATATTCGCCATCTTATTCGTGTTTGTGCTTTGATTACATGCAAGATTCAAGACCAACAGTTTACATAGATACCTTCAGCCATGTGAAAACCCTTCCATAGCTAAATTTTATATATATATATATATATATATATATATATATATATATATCAGTACCAGTCAAAAGTTGACACACCTACTCATTCAAGGGTTTTTCTTTATTTGTATTATTTTCCTTCAAGACTATTTTCTACATTGTAGAATAATAGTGAAGACATCAAAACTATGAAATAACATATGGAATCATGTAGTAACCAAAAAAGTGTTAAACAAATCAAAATAGATTTTAGATTCTTCAGATAGCCACCCTAGGCCTTGATGACAGCTTTGCACACTCTTGGCATTCTCTCAACCAGCTTCATGAGGAATGCTTTTCCAACAGTCTTCAAGGAGTTCCCACATATGCTGAGCACTTGTTGGCTGCTTTTCCTTCACTCTACGGTCTAACTCATCCCAAACCATCTCAATTGGGTTGAGGTCGGGTAATTGTGGAGGCCAGGTCATCTGATGCAGCACTCCATCACTCTCCTTCTTGGTCAAATAGCCCTCACACAGCCAGGAGGTGTGTTTTGGGTTATTGTCCTGCTGAAAAATAAATGATAGTCCCACTAAGCGCAAACCAGATGGCATGGCGTATCGCTGCAGAATGCTGTGGTAGCCATGCTGGTTAAGTGTGCCTTGAATTCTAAATAAATCACAGACAGTGTCACCAGCAAAGCACCCCCACACCATCACACCTCCTCATCCTTGCTTCACGGTGGGAACCACACATGCGGAGGTCATCCGTTCACCTACTCTGCATCTCACAAAGACACAGCGGTTGGAACCAAAAATCTCAAATTTGGACTCATCAGACCAAAGGACAGATTTCCAACGGTCTAATGTCCATTGCTCATGTTTCTTGACCCAAGCAAGTCTCTTTTTCCTATTGGTGTCGTTTAGTAGTGGATTCGTTGCAGCAATTCGACCATGAAGGCCTGATTCACGCAGTCCTCTGATAATGACATTGCTCATCCATATATTTATATATTATTTTTCCATTCCTTTACTTAGATTTTTGTGTATTAGGTTTTTGTTGTGGAACTGTTAGATATTACTTGCTAGCTATTGCTGCACTGTCGGAACTAGAAGCACAAGCATTTCGCTACACTCGCAATAACATCTGCTAACCATGTGTATGTGACCAATACATTTGATTTGATTTTGAACAGTTGATGTTGAGATGTCTGTTACTTGAACTCTGACGCATTTATTTGGGCTGCAATCTGAGGTGCAGTTAACTAATGAACTTATCCTCTATAGCAGAGGTAACTCTGGGTCTTCCTTTCCTGTGGCAGTCCTCATGAGAGCCAGTTTCATCATAGCACCGCACTTGAAGAAAATGTTCAAAGTTCTTGAAATGTTCCCGGATTGACTGACCTTCATGTCTTAAAGTAATGATTGACTGTCATTTCTCTTTGCTTATTTGAGCTGTTCTTGCCATAATAGGGCTCTCTTCTGTATACCACCCCTACCTTGTCACAACACAACTGATTGGCTCAAACACATTAAGGAGGAAAGAAATTAACTTTTAGCAAGGCACACCTGTTAATTTAAATGCATCCCAGGTGACTACCTCATGAAGCTGGTTGAGAGAATGCCAGGAGTGTGCAAAGCTGTCATCAAGGCAAAGGGTGGCTATTTGAACAAAATCAAATATAAAATATATTTTGATTTGTTTAACACTTTTTGGGTTACTACATGATTCCATGTGTTATTTCATAGTTTTGATGTCTTCACTATTAATCGACAACGTAGAAAATAGTAAAAATAAAGAAAAATCCTGGAATTAGTAGGTATGTCCAAACCTTTGACGGGTACTGTATATATTCCATAGCTAGCTTCCTTTACTTGTAGCTTGCCTCTCATCCGACTGGTGTTAGCAAGCTAATAGCGCTGTTGCTGCGCAACCCAAGTGCTTTGGTCCGGTTTAAGAACTCAGATTCGGCTGAAAATGTTAGCATTGTCAGAAATGCTACAAAAAGTTAGCACATTGTTGGTTCTTAAAAATTGACAGAAATGAGCACGTGAGCGATAAATTATAAATTTAAATAAAAACTGTTGCACATACAAACAAAGTCAATCCAACATTTCTTTAAGTGCAAATGGTCACTTTATGGACGCTATAGTCTCGTTTTAATCTGACGTCTAGAATTTGAGCTAGGTGAGCGCAGAAAATACTCAGTTTCTAACGACTGTTAAAAATCAGATATATGGTTGTTGGTAAGGGCCAGATGGCTCATGACGAGAGGCGGGGAGTGTGTTGTGTACCTCCAATTAAATTGACTAGCAAATGTTCATCGACATTGGTGTCATATTAGCTTAGATATGATGGTAGGGAGATTTGAATTTAACATTGAGCTTCATCCAATGCCATATTGAACATTAGTATACTGGCACATAACGATTCCACCATTTGGTCTCTCCTTGATTTCCCCAAAGGTAGTAATGAGTGAGCTTCATCAGGGCTGTCTGTACCCAGACAAACACAATGAAAATGTATTGCACATAATATACTAATAACACTCAATACGAATGCATGTTTTGTCATACCAACAAAGCATTTTGAATGCAATTGAATAGTCAGCTCCTAGGATCAACCGAACAACCCTTTCGGGGTGTTTAGCCTGGACACAGACCCCACAGTGTTAGGGTAATGTGGTGTAGGTCTAGCTCACCTTTATCCACTATGTGGTCCAGGCCTCCCAGAAGCCTTAGCTCCTCTTTAAACCAGTCCCCGGCCCGCTTGGAGGTCAGCGATAACAAGGTCTCCATGGCTAAATGCCCCGTCTGCACACACACACAAACACACAGGGAGTAATGAAAACACATTTACATCACACATACAGGGTATAAATGGACAATACTGACTGTGTATTGTGATTCAAAGAGGCCAACTATGACAGACGATAACGGGGGGAGGAACTGGAACAAAAATATGATTTCCTTCCTTCCAGTGATGGAGTCAGGAGAAGCTAGTTTGCATGCAGGTGGAGTTTGAGTCCAACCACAACAATACTGCCTTCTCTAATTACATTGTCGATAGATAGAAACTTTCTAACACTTTCATCTCTATTATTAAAATATTTTAAAGTAAACTGTTGAGATCAAACGATAAGAGAATGTTAAGTTTTTCAACCCAACTTTCAAAATCGGATTCTCTAATGATTAATTCAACATGGAAGCGAACAGTCAGAAATATAAAGAGTGCTTAAATGAATGAAAATAAGTTGGGAGGCCTTGAGGCGAATGGTCAGTCTGCGCTCTGTGAAGAACAGGGCTACATCCCAAATGGCACCCTATTCCCTACATACCCTGGTGAAAAGTAGTCCACTATATAGGGAATAGGGTGCCATTTGGGATGTCGACTAGAACATCAGCGGAGAGGATATTTATAGAGGGAATGGGAGAAAAAAAGGCTCAAAGCCAGACATCAAAAGGCCCTGTCATCACATCATCAGACGTCCAAATTGGTCATATCAAACTGTTTAATTCTGTGCAGTTTGCCAGTCCCAATTCAAATACATTATTTCCATTGGTTCTACAGTGCAAATGCTAGAGACAGAGGAGGAAAGAGAGTTGCAGCTAGTCTCCATCCTCTAAGCAAAAACCAGGGCCATCTTCATTAGGGAACCAAACAGAAAAAGAACGGACTGAAACATGGAGGGACCACCTGAACATGTCCAATAGGAAACAACACATTTTAGTTTTCCATTGCAAAATATTTGTAGCTGCATATGAATATGACACAAGAAGGACTATCTCTAGGGGAGACCAGTACCGTGATGTTCTCCAGGTCCAGGTGCTTGTTGTGCACTGTGTCGCACAGCTTGCGGATCTTCTCCTTGACCTTTGAAATCTCCTTGGTGGTGAGCTGGTCGTCCTTGGCCACCGAGTGGTCCCCATCCAGCTCCAGCAGGCGGATCATCAGATCTAGACTGGCCCGGTCCAGGTCCATGTTGAGTCTGTCTCGGCTCAGGATGTACATCAAACTGGCCGTGCACAGGGACAGGTTCTGGAGGGAGGGGATGGATGAAAATGGGACGGGAGAAGGAGGAAAGAAAGGATATGTGAACCTGATATCCTGACTTTTTAAAAGTAGTGTCACTAACGCAGGTTGTTACTAAGCGCTAAAACCATTTGTCACTTGGCAGGCTCCAGTTAAAGGACTGAGCTTCTCCACGGATCTGACAGAAACCAATTCAAGTCAGCCACAGTCTCTGGAGGAGAGCAGGGAACTTAACTTACCGGGTGCTGTGGGGCGTCGTTGAGTGTCTTGAAGACCTGGGCCACCTTTCCCCTGGCCCTCAGATGCATTCTGAAGCTGGGCATGGCACACCTGGTGGCCAGGCTAATGACACTGCAGGAGAGGACAGATAAATACAGTCTAATTGAATTGAACAGAGAAGAGGGTCACTGCCTCTGCTAGAGCATCGTATTGTCTGCTATCGCCTGATAGGAATGGCAGTGGTGCATGGGCCGCTCGAGGTAAACCGTGCTCTTAACTGCCCTGAATCATTACCTTAACCATAATGGAGATGACAAAGAATCTGACCCTGTATCAGTGGTTAGGGCGGTTAGCGGCAGCTAGTCTTACCTAAGGCAGCGTGTGTTGAGGGGCTGGCCACTCTTCAGGCCGGTGGCCAGGTACTCAAAGTCATCGGTGAACTCCTGGTTCTCTCCAAACTCCACCACGTCGTTGAAGTGCTTGACATGCTGGACTACTGTGTATAGCTGGAGCAAAGAGTTGACAGCATGTTAACGCTTGTTGGGTTCAGTAAATCACATGGGCTGCGTCCCAAATTGCACTTTAATAGTGAATAGGGCTCTGGTCAAAAGTCGTGCATTACTTAGTACAGGGTGCGATTTCAGACGTTGCTCAAGTCCCCTTGATATTGTGTAAGAAAAGACAAAGGATCCACGCCATCATCACCATATTTCTCACACGTTCTAATTGCGTAACACATATCCCTAAATACCTACGCAACACGCTTCAATTGTTAGCATGCTAATGACAAATTCTGATGTGGGGGTGTAGTAGTGGGTGGAGTCGCAGCAAGTGTGGTACAGGGATGATGCAGACACTAGATCAAGCTGTAGAGCTCAGTCCTGCTATTCTCAGCATGAGAGCTATGCACCCGCCGCTTGCCTTGTTGGTCGGGAGCCAAGACCACAAACAAGACAGCAAATGAAACTGCAGGTGGAATTTAAAAATGTGGGATGCCCATTATGCTGCTGCTGCCTATGAGACTGCCCACACTGCAGTTCCTAGCGGAGCGAACACTGCTTAGCATGCAAGATACCAATGTAATAAGATAAATAACTACAGATGGTTAACTGTTTAGGGATTCAGGGATCTTGCAGTATGGTCTTATAGGAGGTATGTAGAGAAATCAACACACAGCCTCAGAATTCACTGATTCGTTTCAAGACTATTTCTAAATAAGATGATTTACAGGGGTAAACCGATTGATCATCCATTAAATTGGAGCTTTTGTTTAAATCCATTTTCAACATTGTAAACCAGGGTAATATTCATAAAGTGATCAAGGATCAGGTCCCCCTGTCCATATCAACCTTATTCATTATGATCTGGAAGGCAAAACTGATCCTAGATCAGCATGTTTCCTCAGATGCTTGATACTGCCCCAGGACAATTTCTAGTGTTCTTATAGGCTGTGCTTTATAGATACCGAGTTCCAGACACAGTGATGGGTTGCCAGGTAGAACAGAGAATGTTGTTGTGTTGAAGCTCACCTCCTTGTGCTCTTTCCTACATTTCAGTGCGGTGACGATGTCCTGGTAGGGCTCGGTGGGGAACGACACAGACTTGATGACTTTGGGAGGCGGGCATGGCGGCGCCTTGAACAGCCCGTCGTCTTTGTGAGAGTTAGACGAGTCCTTGCTGCTCCTGCTCGACTGGCTCGCCTGTTAGAGAGAGAGGGGGTAAGGAAGGAAGGAAGGAAGGAAGGAAGGTGTGAGTGAGAGAGAGAAAGGCAGAGAGAAAGGGGGGAGAGGCAGAATCAGAGGAAAAGGAGAAAGAGAAGAAAGAGAGGAAGAAAGAGAGGAGGAGGGAGAGAGGGGAAGGGCCGAAGTAGAGAGTGGGTCAGAGGGAGACAAGCAGAACCACACAGCCACCTGCTCTCAGCTCAGTACACGGCCCTGCTGATTCATGCTGTTGAACACCAGCCAACGGCCTCCTGCCCCTTACATAAGGCCAGATAAGGCCCAGTAAAAACACTCTCTCAGTTTCACAGCACACACAGGCTCTGAGTCTCTTCTAGCAGTCCGAGGGAGGGCAAGGGATGAGGGACTTATAGGGCGCTGTAATACATGGCTAACATTATCGGTAAGACGCAGGAGCGTTCAGAGCCGTACTAACATTATCACTAAGACGCAGGAGCGTTCAGAGCCATACTAACATTATCACTAAGACGCAGGAGCGTTCAGAGCCGTACTAACATTATCACTAAGACGCAGGAGCGTTCAGAGCCATACTAACATTATCACTAAGACGCAGGAGCGTTCAGAGCCATACTAACATTATCACTAAGACGCAGGAGCGTTCAGAGCCGTACTAACATTATCACTAAGACGCAGGAGCGTTCAGAGCCATACTAACATTATCACTAAGACGCAGGAGCGTTCAGAGCCGTACTAACATTATCACTAAGACGCAGGAGCGTTCAGAGCCGTACTAACATTATCACTAAGACGCAGGAGCGTTCAGAGCCATACTAACATTATCACTAAGACGCAGGAGCGTTCAGAGCCGTACTAACATTATCACTAAGACGCAGGAGTGTTCAGAGCCGTACTAACATTATCACTAAGACGCAGGAGCGTTCAGAGCCGTACTAACATTATCACTAAGACGCAGGAGCGTTCAGAGCCATACTAACATTATCACTAAGACGCAGGAGCGTTCAGAGCCGTACTAACATTATCACTAAGACGCAGGAGCGTTCAGAGCCGTACTAAGATTATCACTAAAACGGAGGAGCGTTCAGAGCCGTACTAACATTATCACTAAGACGCAGGAGCATTCAGAGCTGTGATGCATTTTTTAAAAGGCTAATGAATTTCAAGAATGGCAAGGTGCCACACATGCATCTAATGACATTTGGAAAATGAATCAGACGCAGGGTTTATACCAAATGGCACCCTAGTGCACTATAAAAAGAGAATAGGCTGCCATTTGGAACACAACGTGGAGTAGAGTGGCCATAATGGGGTAAACCACAGTGAAGAGACCAATCGGAGCATCCTTGGTGGTGGAGGGAGGGTGTGAGTGAGGATGGAAAGGGAGTTTCTTAAGGAAGTTAGGGCTCGAGGGTATGGAAAATTGCATTAGAGTTTACACTGTCCCGTTTGCATGGGACTGAATCAGCCATGTTGCTTGAGCAGAGAGAGAGTGAGAGCCATTGCCTACCTACAGAATGAGAACAGTTTGTGGTGCAGCTTTCACCAGCTGCAGAAATCTCACACCTCTAGCTAGCTGGGTAGGCAGGCTGATCGGAGAGCCAGGGCTAGTATTTGGAGTGGGGGTGGTGGGTGACACCCATAACTAGGGTGGTGATTAGGGGGGTTACTTACGGGTGCAGTGGTTGAACGGGGTACAGGTGGCGGGGGCAGCTCCTCTGGCTCTCTGTTCCAGTGTCTGGCGTTGTACACAGCTTTAGTGGGAGACTGCAGGGGGAACAGGAAAACATGAGGTAAGTCCATCAGGTTACTTCACATTCCATCACACAGTTCAGCCCTTCCTGCTAGAACAGTGTTACTTAGAACACGTCAAATGAGAATCATTGATCAACACACACGCCAACCAAACTGCAACAGTATACTGTGTTTAAAAACAACCAAGCCAATTCAAAGTGTAGTCAATTGCTCCGAATTCGAGGTGATTTCTGATACTGGGAATTCTCAGTGTCTTGGAAGATAAATCAAAGTAGGGCAGCGATTCCCAAACTTTGTTGGCCTGGGACCCCATTTTGATATCAACATTTGGTTAAGAGCGTTGTGCCAGTAACCGAAAGGTCGCTGGTTCTAATCCCCGAGCCGACTATGTGAAAAATCTGTCGATGTGCCCTTGAGCAAGGCACTTAACCCTAATTGCTCCTGTAAGTCGCTCTGGATAAGAGCATCTGCTAAAATGTAATAGGAATAGCAAACATTTCTTTGTGACCCCACCATGTAAATGTGGGGTTGACTTTATGATCTTCTGTGTAGAAAAGAACATCATTTATGTTCTTCTCCCCCCAGCCTGATTTAGTGCCTGGTCTCGTCCACTCAGTTCTAACGGCTTGTGGGTATAGTAGAGGGAAGCATTATGTATGTACGCGTTCCTGAGAGTCTTATCTTTCAGTGATGGGGTATAAGTTGTTGTAGCATAAACCGTTCAAAGGATAGAGCCACATTTGTAGGAAGAAAACAGAAATCGCATTGAGCGGCTACCCGGTTCTATGAACCATGGGCAACTTGTCTCTCGCGACCCCATTTTCAAATCAGGCAACCCCACATCGCAAGCCCTAGTTTGGGAAACCCTGTAGTAGAGTGAGACGATACAGAGAGTGGATTGGATAGAAGACATTGGCCTTTGTTGGTTCCTGTAACAAACAAGCCCCAGGGAGAGACGGGGAGAGAGAGAGACTAAATTAATGCCTATTAAACCACCAGAGGCAGCCAGGACTCCTCAAACAGCAGGACTGACTGAAGACAACAGCCAGCGCTGTGTACACACACACAGTGACACAAACCTTGGCTCCTCTCTGCTTAAAGGGAGCCTATTGGCTCAGCCTGTTGATGGGATATTAATAATGAATCAAAGAAAAAGAATACCAGCAAGAGTGAACAAACATTGTTGGCTCAGGACAGAGCACTGCAGGAAATAACGAACCGAGAGTACCTCAACTTTCATTTAGGCCCTCTAGTCTTCTTACCCATGATCCTAACCTAATCAAGTGGACACAGACAGGAAGATTCGACACCCACCCCCATGGGAGTGTGAGCTCTTGTGACGAAAGGCATTTTCTGTAAACATGGGCACTTATCTGTCATGCACACACACACACAAACATGAGAAGGTCAGACAGAAGGAAATGAATACCAAATACACTACTTGAGTTCCCCCTTTCCAACACTGCCAAGTTAAGACATGTTTGCCCAAGGCCCTCTTCATAAATCTGAGACGAGTGCAAGTAGCCAAATCACACACAGAGACACACACACGAGACAGACACGCACACCGAGACACACACACACACCGAGACACACACACACACACCGACACACACACCGACACTAAGCAGAAGACTGAGGAGCTGTCAGTTCCAGCTGTAGGCGAGGTTCAACTAAACCACTCAACCAGCAATCAGCTGTTGTGGTCCAGGACCCCTCAAGACGGTAACAGCATCCCTGCTCTGGCCTTATGAGACACGGGCAATTCCATGATAACGGAAATATGCTGAGAATCAGATTTGTCACTTTAAAAATGTATACCAAACAAAAACCATTGAAATCAAAGTTTAAGAAACCATAGAACAAGGACTACTTTTAACAATTTCCACTTAATATTTTACAAAAACATTTACAGAAAGAACTGTGAAGATACAACGTTTTTATTTACTGTGTAAATTGTTCAAAGTAGTCTTTGTGCATATAGTTGTATGCTTTGTTAAACTTTGAAATTACTCGTTTTTGGTTAGCACACATTTAAGTGAAAAATTGGTCCCAGCTTACAGTAACTCCATTATCATGGAATTGCCCACATGGAAACATACTTTTATGACTCACATCTACACCGTCACACACGCGAAAATGCCATTAAATCTCAAATGAGCCTCAGATTTAAAATGCCCAAACAAAGCTGTGAAAGAAAACAGGGAAGTGTTTTCCATGAATTAAAACCCACTTCACGGTCCTGCCAGCCATCAGCCAACCCAACCCTGTAAACCAGTTTTGTTCCAAGACAGACAATCACAGAACGTGTGGAAACAGACAGAGGGTATTACTATGGATGAATCCCACATGGCAACCTACCTTTGACCAGGGCCCCTAGTATACTTCATATATAGGGAATAGGGTGCCATTTGTAATGTTCACAATAACACCAGCAGGGTATCTGATGAGATGTTTACCCCTTTCTCTACCGTATAAAGTCTTCTACACCATGCTGTCGGTGAGCCGCTGGAGTCATTAAGCCAGAGTGAGAATGATTATGAAGAGGCGTGGGGAGGGGAATGCGGGGCCTTTAAACACCTGTGCATCTCTACCGAGGAGAGAATTGGGCTTGACACTATAAATAACCTGTGGCTCATTCTTAGGGTTCTCTGCAGGATATTTTAACAAGGTGATATGCCGAGTATGGCGTAACTGCCATTTCCTGCAATCTAGAGAAAATGGAGGTTCCATTCTTTGGGGAGAACCCTGATTCTAATTTATTTTTAACCGTCTGAAATGAGTCATTACCAACCGTCATAAACGCCCACGATGTTAAACCCGCGTGGGGAGAATGTCTCTCAAGGCAGGTAAAAAAATGCTCAGTCTTCCTGCAATCCAACGCTGCTGCTTTAAGCAGGCCGGACTCATTTATCCACTGCACCGCCACCCGCCCAACCAACACGCATACTGTTACCGACTCCTGGCCTGCCAAATCATTTATCGCTTACACTCTCGGCTCAATCAGAGCACACAAGCTCTCGGGTTCAACTGTTGCGCGTGAAAAATGCCCAACACCCATCTTGGCCCAAACATTGGAGCTCAAACCCAATCCAAGAGAAAGCAGGAGCCATAGGTCTCTCCTTAGGCAACAGACACATAAACAAACAATAGGAAGAGATGTTGGTTCAGCAGAACAGGACACAATAACAGATCGAAGACAGGAGGAGGAATCCTAGAAGAATCTATAAAGCAATAATAGGAAGACTTTTAGGAGAGATATGGGCCAAATCACTGCCTGAGGACAACCACCAGGGAGAGAAAGAGAGAAAAAAAGGTTAGCTGGAGGACAGAGTAAGGAAGATGGACTGACACAGAGAGAGAAGAGTGTGGGCGAAGTGAGAGAGAGAGTCGGTAGATGTATCATATATCCATGATTAATGTAGGAGAGCCAGCTAGGCTCTGAGTCTAGGGGTGTACTGTGAACAGAGGGGAGCAAAGGGCCTTGGCCTGTCCACAGGCTGCAGACATAACACTCACCAGCCTGACAGAGAGCAAGAGAGAGCTACTCAATAAACACAACACACTCGCTGTTCAGCCACGTCCACTCGTCCAGACTAGAGCAGAGCTAGCTGCCCATATACAGACCTGACATGAATTAGTCAGAGACGACATGATAATGATGGTGGCAATTAAATCAACCTCTAACATCTGACAGCCGACATCAACAGATTGGCATATGGGCAACTCCACGGTAACAGAATTATGAGGAGACTCAGATTATTCGCTTTAATATGTATGCCAAACAAAAAACAATGATTGCAAAGTTAAACAAACCAAACTATGTACAAGGCCGACTGAAAATTTGACAAAAACACATTTCCTTTCAGAACAGTGCAGATGCGAAGTTTGGTAACAGAATGACGGCACAACCAGCACAAACTGTTATTCTGTTACCAATCTTCGCATCTGCACTGTTCTTAAAGGAAATGTGTTTTTGTAAGATTGTCAGTGGAAATTGTTAGAAGTCATCCTTTACAATTATTGATTGTTGTTTGGCATACATTTAAAGTGACAAATACAGAGGCCCAGAACATACATACACAAATAATGCATCAAGCACAACTGGTTATGGAGAATGAATAATAGAATGAAAAAGATGGAATTGTAGGTATTATTATGGAAAACAGCAGCATTTCTTCTGCAATTTGTAAGCAAACTGCATGAGAAGAAGATATATTGTTATGCATCCAATTCAAATTGGTTTCTGTAAGGGTTAGTTACAGGCTGTGCCCCAAATAGCACTCTAATACCGACATAGTGCACTACGGGGCCCTGGTCAACAGTAGCGCACTATATAAGGAATAGTGTGCAATTCGGGACTAGTCCATGTAAGTTGCATGCGCCAGAGTGCCACTTCACTACCCCTACAGTTGGGCCAGTCGCAATAGAAATCGCTGCCTTTTGACGACTCATGAATACCCCGATCCTTTTGGAGGGCTATTGTTTTTTTTTTAATGAGTTCAGCGCTTTTAATAATGTTACCTGCATGGAGTACATTACAGGGCTATGGATGAGGAATCTCTGAGCAGAAAACACCTCCAAAGACTTGGAAGGCACCTTCGCACTCTACAGGTTTGTAGTAGCCCAAATGCAAAGACTGACTTATGAGAATACACCTAAAATGTGCAAGTTGCCTTTACAAATGACTATATGAAACATTGTATGACCTATAACCTGTATTTAACAACCTCAACATATATAACGCGTCTGATTTTCTCACAATAAGATTTCACATCCCATTCTAAGCAGGGCCTTGCTCTTAAAGACCAATAACGGAGCACTTACAGATGAAGTCCATCTAAGCAATTGGAGATAGGGCATTACTGGTTCTCTGGATAAATAAAAAAAGAGAATGAGTGTTGCTGGGTATGCATCTCCAGTTCAATGAGTTCGCACCTATTGGAACCTAGGACCAGAGACCGTCAATGGCAGCTGTCATCCCTCCATCCACATACAAATAACAAGCCATTTTGGCATCTCTGCAGCACATACAGAGCGTAGTCTACTCATTCTCTGATGAACGTTCTGGGTCTAGTTCATTGGCCACCAAAACGGACTGAAACAGGGAGGGGACTACCTGACCTTGTCCAATGAAAAGCGCTCTTTTCTGTTTTCCGTTGCAAAACGTTTCGCTGAGATGTGCCGCTGTGGCCTGATGAACACGATCCTGGACTTGAGTGCAGGGAGAGTTGCCAAAGAACACTTCTTACCTTTTTGGGGCCACTGAAGATCTTCCTATTGGTCTCCCTGCTCTCCTTGGACTTCTCCACCTGTTTTGCCTGAGGTCTCCTGGGCATCTCTAGGCCCACAGAGGCAGAGTTGTCCTCTGGGAAGTCCATCACATCTACAGGGGACATGCCAAAGTAAGACGTGTGTTAGATTAGGACAGGAACATCACTGTTCATTACCAAGTCCATAGAATTTAATATAGAATCCTATCGTGAATTATAAGATCTCTGTGACCAAGTCATTATTAGCCTAAATGATTTGAGTATAATAGATTTACATTTTAGTCATTTAGCAGACAGACACTCTCATACAGAGCGACTTACAGGGGTAATTAGGGTTAACCCTCAAGAGTTGATATTCGCGCCCCGCAGAAATCTAATTAGCATCATAACAAATCAATCCTTCAGTTTAAGCTAGAGACATGTTTTATTTTTTAGAGGGGCTGCGTCTCAATCCACTGCACTCGCCCTGAAGTCGGTACAGATGATTTGCAAACTGTCTGTAGCGTCCGAACAGTTTGGGCTACACACTAATATGACCCCTCTATGGAAAGGCGAGTCTCTCATGAACACATACATGTCGGTTGTTTTGCTCTAGGATGCCCACAAGCCTCTCAAGACTAGTATAAAGGTAGCTGGGTACCAGTTTAAAAAATGAATGGAAGTATATATGGAGATAGTTTAGTGCCTAAAATAAGGGGTTAAAAAATATATATATATATCCCTCAGATATAGGACAGACACTTCAGAACTAACTTCCTTATGGTTTTTTTGTGACTGTTTATCCATGTATGAAGCTGTTATTCAATGTGTTTCTATGGGCTAATAGCAGTAAGGCTAAATTCAATGTTTCATCAAATAACTTTTCTATATATATCTATATCTATATCTATATCTATATATATCTATATCTATATCTATATCTATATCTATATCTATATCTATATCTATATATATATATACACTTTTATAATTACAGGGGTCCTAAAATTTCAAATCAAATAGCTAAATGATCATTGGTATGACCTTCTTAAAACAATTTCATGTTGGCTTAGTAGAAACCCATATGTTAGCTTAAGCTGGGTGTACATGACATGATTTTGCCCACGATTTATACTGAACAAAAAACTATAAAACGCAACATTACTGGAAATCAGTCAATTGAAAAAAATGTATTAGGCCCTAATCAATGGATTTCACAACTGGTAATACAGATATGCATCTGTTGGTCATAAATACCTTCAAACAAGGTAGGGGCGTGGATCAGAAAACCAGTCAGTATCTGGAGTGACCACCATTTTCCACATGCAGCGCGAGATAACTCCATCTCATAGAGTTGATCAGACTGTTGATTGTGGCCTGTGCAATGTTGTCCCACTCCTCTTCAATGGCTGTGCCAAGTTGCTGGACATTGGAGGGAACTGGAACACGCTGCTGTACACGTCGATCCAGAGCATTCCAAACATGCTCAATGGGTGACGTCTGGTGAGTATGCAGGCCATGGAAGAACTGGGACATTTTCAGCGTCCAGAAATTGTGTACAGATCCTTGCGACATGGGGCCGTGCATTTTCATGCTGAAACATGAGGTGATGGTGGCAGATGAATGGCATGACAATGGGCCTCAGGATCTCGTCACTGTATCTCTGTGCATTCAAATTGCCATTGATAAAATGCAATTGCGTTCGTTGTCTGTAGCTTATGCCTGCCCATACCATAACCCCACCATGGGACAGTCTGTTCACGTTGACATCAGCAAACCGCTCGCCCACACGACACCATACATGTGGGTCTGCGGTTGTGAAGCCGGTTGGACATACTGCTAAATTCTCTAAAACGACGTTGGAGGCGGCTTATGGTAAATACATTTACATTAAATTATCTGGCAGCAGCTCTGGTGGACATTCCTGCAGTCAGCATGCCAATTGCACGCTCCCTCAAAACATGAAACATCTGTGGCATTGTGTTGTGACAAAACTGCAAATTTTAGAGTGGCCTTTTGTCACCTTACACAAGGTGCACCTGTGTAATGATCATGCTGTTTAATCAGCTTCTTGATATGCCACACCTGTCAGGGGAATGGATTATCTTGGCAAAGGAGAAGGGATGTAAACAGATTTGTGCACAACATTTGAGAGAAATAAGCTTTTTGTGCTTATGGAACATTTCTGGGATCTTTTATTTCAGCTCATGAAACATGGGACCAACACTTATTGCGTTTATATTTTTGTTCAGTGTAGCTGTCCCAGACAAGTTTTTGAGATCGGAGACAAAATCCCCATGTCGTTGCCTACTCGGGGCACGCAGCCATCACCGACGCTCGTTTAATGTGAGCGGGTCAGAGACGAAATCTGAGGGCTACCGATCTAGTCTTTGAGCAGTCCCAGACGTCCCAATATTTTCAAACATGTTTGATTTTATCAGCACAAAATCTGCCATGCTCTTGTAGTGTGAGATGTGCAACGACAAGTTTTGAGAACGGTGATCCGCAATAGCCAATGAGAGCTCACCAGAGAAGAAGCCAGTGAGATGATAACGTTGTATCGCATCATCCAGAATGTGTAGACTCAAGCTGGAGCGATGACTACTACTAGTATGCGTTTGTACTAACCAAAGCCAAAGTGTCAAATCGTTACAGCTCTGGAATGCACGAGCAATGTTATTCAATTCGAAATGTTTGCTAGATATTTCAACTCTATATGGCAAGCGTGAATGTCAGACTGAACGCTTATGAGGATACTTTGCTGCACAGCTCGTAGATTGGTTAAATCTAATCACTTTGTTTTTCGCGAGACAGCGTGGTATCGAGATTCCTCACAAACAAGTGAAGAATCTTGTAGTGTGTGACCCCCGTCTGTGCCACGTCGTTTAGTGGGCACCTCTACGTTGGCAAGACAACTACAGGAAAGACGGTCGTTTAATGTGAGAGGCTCAGCGATGTTAGGATTTTGAAAGTCGTGTAGTGTACACCCGGCTTTAGTAGAAGTGTGTATGTGTGTATATAGAGATCTCCATGTTCTTGAAATTCACCTTGCCTGAGTCTGCCCTGTACTGATGCTGGTCTGAGTGTGTGTGTGTGTGTGTGTGTGTGTGTGTGTTGTAGTACTGACCTCGACTGAGGCCCTGTGCCTGACCTGTGTGGCTGCTAGTCTGACTGTCCAGCTCCTCGCTGCCGGACAGGGGGCTGTCCACCCTCATCTCCATGGAAGCAGCGGAGGCTGCATAAGCTGTGGCTGCAGCCTTGGCAGCCCTCTTAGCCTTCCTCCTCTCTTTGGCCTGGGAGCCCTCGTCTTCGTCGCTGTCGCTCATATCGTCGAAGCCAAAATACTTGATCTTGTAGTTGGAGCTGCCGGATGCCACAGGGTCGGAACTGCCCTCCTCCTGGGTGGCACCACGGCCCGCCTCGTTTTCCTCGAAGCCAAAGAAATCCAACTTGGTGTCTTTCTTGGTCTTGCTCTGAGTGGGTCTGAACCTGGTAGAGAGAAACAGAGAGAGAGAGAGAGAGAGAGAAGTTAGAACAACCTACACTCCAATGGCTTTTGAGCAGGTGCGAGATATTCAAGGATGCGTGTTCATCAGCAAAATAGAAGAATCCAAACACATTTGAGAGCATAGCCTATACTGCAGCGTGTAGATTATTATCCTTGTCTGATCAACAGAGGGAGAGAAACATACCTCATTGTTATGACTGTCAGTGAAGGGAGCAGAAATAGCCCAAACATCATCATAATCTAACAACAACAGTGATTATCCCAGTATAGCGGTAGGTAGGTAGCAGTAGGTCACCTGGTGGGTTTGGCTGGTGCTGGTTCAGTCTTCTTCTGCAGACGGCCAGCCTCTCCCAAGTCTGTCAGGGGGGTAGCCACAGCGGCAGCGGGGGTGTATTCCTCCATGACCCTGTCCTGAATGGTGACGTTACACACCGACAGGCAGGACGGGTGAAGCACCGTGAAGTCTCTCGTCCGCCCGCGGCCCGCCGGCTTGCTGCTGTTCTCTGTATTGTTGGTCTTGAGTGGGCCAGATCCGGGCCCACTACTGAAGGCTGTGCTGGTACTAGTGGTGCTGTCAGAGTCCCCGGCCTGCTTGCCTTTGTTGGGCCGGCGGTAGGTCCGGCAGTGGGTGCTGACCCTGAGGAGAGACTGGGAGTAGTCCTGGGACTCGGAGGGCTCGATGGGGACCTCGAAGTACCCCAGGCCCACATCGTAACTGGGAGTAGGCTCTGGGGATGTCTTGTCTTGCCTGGCCAGACCGAGACCATAGCCCCACTCGCCACTCCACATTGACGAGGGGGGGCTTCTGGGGGGCTCTGGGGTGGGAGAGGCGGGCCCCAGACCCATCACTGCGTCCCAGTTGTCGTAAGAGTCCTTGGCCTCGCTCTTTAGGGTGGTGGTCTGCGCGATAGGCTTCTTGTCACTTTCTGAGGCGTTGCAGTACCATGAATAGCTGTGTTTCTCCGCAGTCGCACCCTCACTGGACCAGCTCGGTTGTCTTGGCTTGGCTGGGGGAGGAAAGGCAGTGTATTAGCACCACATTTTAAAAGGTGCAATATGCCGAAATAGCGCCGCCATTTCCTGGTTGCAAAAATTTGAATAGTTTGCCTAATTTCAGTTTGTGACAAAACAAGCACTCAGTGTAGAGAATCATTGTACCATCTAAACCACTGTGAAATATATTTTAAATAACAACAAATATTATATTTTCAGCTGTTTGAAGCTGGTGTACAAAAACGAAAGTAAAAGACGCAAAAACTAAACTTAACAGGAAGAATAGAAATAGCACACAGTGCATTCGGATAGTATTTAGATCCCTTGACTTTTTCCACATTTTGATGTTACAGCCTTATTCTAAAATTGATTAAATAGATTTTTTTTGTCTCAACCTACACACAATACTCCATAATGAGAAAGCAAAAACAGGTTTATAGAAATGTCTGCAAATGTATTAAAAATTAAAAACTGAAATACCTTATTTACGTAAGTATTCAGACCCTTTACTCAGTACTTTGTTGAAGCACCTTTGGCCGCGATTACAGCCTCGCGTCTTCTTGGGTATGACGCTACAAGCATGGCACACCGTTATTTTGGGAGTTTCTCCCATTCTTCTCTGCAGATCCTCTCAAGCGCTGTCAGGTTGGATGGGGAGCGCCGCTGCACAGCTATTTTCACGTCGCTCCAGAGAAGTTCGATCTGGTTCAAGTCCGGGCTCTGGCTGGGCCACTCAAGGACATTCAAAGACTTGTCCCAAAGCCACTCCTACGTTGTCTTGGCTGTGTGCTTAGGGTCATTTCCTGTTGGAAGCTGAACCTTCGCCCCAGTCTGAGGTCCTGAGCACTCTGAAGCAGGTTTTCATTAAGGATCTCTGTACTTTGCTCCGTTCATCTTTCCCTCGATCCTGACTAGTCTCTGTCCCTGCCGGTGAAAAACATCCCCACAGCATGATGCTGCCACCACGCCTCACCGTAGGGATGGTGCCAGGTTTCCTCTAGACGTGACGCTTGGCATTCATCAGACCAGAGAATCTTGTTTCTCAGGGTTTGAGAGTCCTTTAGGTGCCTTTTGGCAAGCTCCAAGCGGGCTGCCATGTGCCTTTTGCTGAGGAGTGGCTTCCGTCTGGCCACACTACCATAAAGGCATGATTGGTGGAGAGCTGCAGAGATGGTTGTCCTTCTGGAAGGGTCTCCCATCTCCACAGAGGAACTCTGGAGCTCTGTCAGAGTGACCATCGGGTTCTTGGTCACCTCCCTGACCAAGGCCCTTCTCCACTGATTGCTCAGTTTGGCCCGGTGGCCAGTTCTAGGAAGAGTCTTGGTGGTTCCAAACTCCTTCCATTTAAGAATGATGGAGGCCGCTGTGTTCTTGAGGACCTTCAATGCTGCAGACATTTTTTGGTACCCTTCCCCAGATCTGTGCCTCGACACAATCCTGTCTCGGTGCTCTACGGACAATTCCTACGACCTCATGGCTTGGTTTTTGCTCTGACATGCACTGTCAACTGTGGGACCTTATATAGACAGGTGTGTGCCTTTCCAAATCATGTCCAATCGATTGAATTTAACACAGGTGGACTCCAATCAAGTTGTAGAAACATCTCAAGGATGATCAATGGAAACAGGACGCACCGGAGCTCAATTTCGAGTCTCATAGCAAAGGGTCTGAATAGTATCTGTTTTTTATTTCTAAAAACCTGTTTTCACATTGTCATTATGGGGTAGTGTGTAGATTGATGAGGAATCTTTTTTTTTTTTAATCCATTTTAGAATAAGGCTGTAACGTAACAAAATGTGGAACAAAGGGGTCTAAATACTTTCCGAATGCACTGTAGAATAGATCTACCGCTTAGACTTGCTTTCAATGAGAATGACAGATATATAACTCACATTTCTACGCGAATTTGGTTGAGTCGCCCAAAAGTTACATATTGCAGCTTTAAGTGTTAGGCAGTTACTGTCTCTGACAGAGATGTAGCATACAGCAGATGAACTAAAGCCACCTTGTTGCCTGCCACACTACAGCATGGGCGCCATTTTCACAGCGGAAGGTGGCAACAACCACGTATGAGAGAGTGTTAACTAAGTGCTAGGGCTGCAAGAGGACCAGCACACCCTGGTAAAACTGGCACAATGCTGAAAAAATGCTGAGTCAGAAAATGTCTCCAACTCTGTTGGTCTAAGTCACCACAACATCAGGAGACTGGGTTAGCCTACATGTGATGACAGAGTGTGGACATTGACAACACTGGCTCCTGTAATTATTTACTTTAAAAGCTGCTGGGTGGGACAGTAATTACTTGCTAAACAACTATACTGGCAGTTGAGTTCCAATAGGCTGCTACAAACCACTTGCATTCAGGCAAGCAGATTCTGGTATATACCCCTCCCTAAGGAATGTTTACGCTCGCTAGGTTATATGACTACGGTAATAGTGCACAGAATGTACCTTAGGCCAGGGTTCCCCAACTGGCGGCCAGCAGCTAAATCTGGTTGATGATCCATGCCTTAGGCAGTCTCCTCCCTAGGATAATTTTTGACAACTCCCAATCTCATCCTTCCAAGGCTCGAAATCCCAAAATCAGTCGCATAAGATAGACGCTTCATCACTGACAAGAGCTATGACACCTCAGTCCAAAACGTCCATGGAATTCAAAGCTATTCAACCAAGGGAATTAAAGAGATTCTCCTGTACTTTTGTATACTTTTTAGCCAGTAGTTCTGAAAGTAGCACTCACAAGCCAAAAGTGGTCCTCGAAAATTGCGTACTACGTCACATATGTGCAAATATGTGCACCACATGCAAACAACATTAAAAAGCTGTCTCACAAAAAAAAATCCTGAAAGTTAGATGTAGTTTCACGAGCCAATGCTAACTAGTGTTAGCACAATTAATTCCAGTCATTGCACTCATGCTAGTTAGCAATTGCGCTAGCACTAGTTAGCAACTTCCTTCAAACCGAAAGCAGTGACATAAATAATGGTATCCACGAGTTCATCTGACTCTGGGGAAGTAGATAAATGGCATCAATGCCAAAATCCCAAGTACCCCTTTAACTGAGCTCTAAGTACCCCTTCAACTGAGCTCAGCATATCAATGAGAAAGATCATATCACAAGAGAGATAGTAGGCCTACATCCTATCTCTCTACATTTTACTTCAAAATAACTTGGGTTTTGTCATTAATTCATGGTGTTGTGGTTTTTGCTGAGAATGCCAAGACAGTTGAAGAACAGGTTTTGTATTACACTTCCCCCTGTGTAAAAAAATTTTTTTTATGGGAATGTTCCATTATTTTCAAATCCTTTGCACTTGAGAAATCATCTGACTGAGAAAATGCCTGATTAGATTTCAATCAGAGCCGTAACAGGCCTGGTTTATTATGCAGTCGGTACTTTGGAGGGATTTTGAGACAACCCTCTCCCTGTCTGGGCACACTCTGAACGCAAAGACGATCACACCATCATCGCTAACACTGAGCACCTTGGAGTTCAAACGATTTTTTAGGTCCAAATAAGCTTTTCAATAATTAGCCACATTAAAAAGGGCCGGTAGGAATGCTTTGCTTGACGAATCCTTAAACGAGGCTCAATAAGTATTACCATCAGTCTGGCTCTGAAAAGTTTCCTTTAATCCCTGATCTGCTCATATTGATTTCTCCTCCAGCCAAACAAGTACAGAGAGTTTCTACGGGTGGACAAGTGAACACTGGGCTTTGGAGGATATCCTGGGTTTGTGTAGGAATGTGGCAGTGCTGTTGCTTAATGTGCCAATGACTACTACTTTCAATTCAGTTTTCATAGACTGACAGTTAGGAAAATATTGACTCATGTGACTAACACCAACTAGAATGACAAAGGATTTGCATGTGGCTATTGTTCCATACCTGAGCCTGCAACTTCAATACCTACAGAAATGTGTCAAACAAACCCATTCTCTAAGTGTCTAAAAGACAACAACTTCCAGTGCCACTGATTTGAATGACAGAGTCACAGAGGGCATACAGCCATATAGAGGGGTGTAAAATGATGTGATACTGTTTTTGCGGTGGACAAGGGCACACACCAGCAGGCAGCATTGCATTGAAACGGGCCCATAACTAGAGCAATAAGTTGCTGCCTCCGGCAGTAAATAACATTCAGCGTGTCTGCTTAGCAATGCGGAATACAATCAGAACCACCTGCCATAGAGGAGATGGCCTCCTAAAACGAGGCTGCACCCGTCAAGTGGACCGGTTTCATATTAGAGAAGCGCATCAACATAATGCAGACTGTAAATTCTGATGGGTTTGCATCTCCCCAGCGAGTGCTTTGGGTGTAATCCACAAGAGCCACCTGCTAGGCTGACAGTTGGTGCCCATTATTCTAGTCCAGAGGGTGAGCTAAACTCACTCCTGGCAGCCTGTTGAAACCCGCTCCAAAGACACACTGCCAGATTAGATGTTTTTCTGTTCCAAGATTTGGGCTACACAAAGTTTTCCAAAGTCAAAAGCTTACAACGATGTTTGCAAAGTGGTAAATTGCTGTTCAATTGAAATGACTACTCATCTGAATCATAAGGTCAGCTAACAATCTGCTGTCTAAATCAGATTGGTGGATGACATCATATGGTCTGAAATTAACACGCCTAATTGCAAGTGCATCCTAATTTAATAATTTAGCATTTCCTTTTGTAAGCTCACTATCATACCTAATTTATTATTTCCTACTCAGCTTTTACTATATTGGATTACTATATTGGATCACTAAGGACCATCAAAATATGTGGTACCTTAAAAATCAATTTGCTTGAAATCAATTACAGGAAATAACTGTTTCAATAATTATAACTGAAGTTGGCTGACATGGCACACGACATTTGATCTTAACAAATGAGTCCACCACATTGCAAGACAGAGGGAAATCAATAGATCACTTCAACCTTACACCCCCTGGAAGCAAAGGTCTTCTGGCCCAAGATTAGATTCTACAATGGATTAGTAGTAGTCCTACTTTGCAACATGAGGCTCCTCCTACCTGTTGTAGTGGTGGTGTTGAAGAACCTGGCTGTGTCCTCTGTGACCCTCAATTGGCTTCGGTCACTCCCCATGCTAGAGGTAGTTCTACTGGGAACAAGGCTGCTCTGCTGGCTGCTCCTCGACTCCAGGCAGAAGCCTGGCCTCCCTGCCTGAGGCGGCTCTGCTGCTGCCGGCTTGGCTGGGGAGGCCTTGGCCTGTGGGAAGCGAGAGGTGACCGTCTTGGACTCCTCATCGCTGTCAAAGCCAAAGGGGTCCTCAGAGCTCTCGTCAGAGAGTTTGGGCCTCTTGGGCTGCTCTGCCACCTCACTCTTCTGGCCCGGGCGCTTGGAGCTCACCTTGGCCTTGTATGTCGTCTCGCCCCATTTGGTGCTGAGCGTGGCTCTCTTGTTGGACAGGACCTCGTCAAACTTGGATGATGATGATCCATCGCCGCTCTTACGGCTGTAGGTTTTACCAAATCTGGATGTCATTGTGGCATCTGTTTCATATTCTCTGTGACGGATACAAAATATAAAATGCATTAGTTGCTGTCATCAAAGGCCATTTCTCATCAACGCAATCACAATATTGTGGTTGAAGTTTACTTTTACTGTAATGTTTAGATTTTTGATGTAATAAATCTGCATTATTGGCAATTCAGTTCATCAGCACCCAAATGTTATTAGGAAGTTGTCATTTCACCACTACGTTATTGTAATGTTAGTGCAGTGTGGTTCCCAAACTTGGGGTCAGGACCCCAAGCAGCATACTACCCTGCATCCCACTGATGTCTTGCCTCTGAAGCTAAGCAGGGTTGGTCCTGGTCGGTCCCTGGATGGGAGACCAGATGCTGCTGGAAGTGGTGTTGGAGGGCCAGTAGGAAGCACTCTTTCCTCTGGTCTAAAACAAATATCCCAATGCCCCAGGGCAGTGATTGGGGACATTGCCCTGTGTAGGGTGCCCTCTTTCGGATGGTACATTAAACGGGTGTCCTGACTCTCTGTGGTCACTATAGAGCCCATGGCACTTATGGTAAGAGTTGAGGTGTTAACCCCAGTGTCCTGGCTAAATTCCCAATCTAGCCACTTACTCGTCCCCAGCTTCCAATTGTCTCATTCATCTTCAAATGGGTATAGAATACAACCTATTAGTGTCAACTAAGGACCCCTTACACTATTAGAATGCGCTTTCATGTCATTATTGTGTTGAGACACCCTGCGGGACCTAAAATTGTGTGAATATAAACACCCAGCTTTCAATAGGGAATCAAATGTTTCCAAGTGAGGTCCCCTGCATTTTCTAGTTTAAATTTGTAGTTGTGTGCAGTAAAAGTTTCGGAACCCTTGCGTTAGTCTTATCTTTATTATCAGGTTAGGGTTCACATACTATTCGGAACTAGGAAACTCGGAAATGTCCGACTTGCTGATTCGTTGAACGCGGGACGTGTATAACTACAACTAGTTAGCCAGTCGGAATTTTCAGAGTTTCCTAGTTCCGATTAGCACTTTAACTTGTTCTGGATGTGGCTAACGCAATGTGTGTACAACTAGCTAGCGTTAGCAACAATACATCACAATTAGCTTAGCCACTATATCGTTAGCTAGTTAAATCAATCAGCTGACGTTATTGAATAAAATAAAAAATAGTTTCTATGTACTGCTGCTAGACACCCTAAGTTAACGTTAGCTAACTAGCCTCGATAATATCATGATATTGACCTAGGTAGCTACTAATTCAGTGTTGATAAACCAAAACAGACCCATATGGCTAGCTGGCTAATTACGACGTTAGCTAGCTAACTAACTTAGCCACTAACGTCGTGTGACAGTGCGCTGGCTAGGTACCGTTAGCTAAATAACGCCAACGCAAACAATTATCTGCAAGAAGTTGACCATGCTGTGCGTTGTTCATTAATATAATAATAGTTGGCTAACACGAACATAATAATTTAACCATCACATGAGCGTTGTGGCTAGAAAGTGAGTAAAAAACAATTTAGCTAGCTAGGTAAGTAACGAACTAGCTACTTAGCTAGTTAGCTATCTGGCTCAGGCTAGTATCAACAGATATTGACGAACATCCACTTTTCACATTGATTTGAAAGTTTAAAGTAGTTTGAAAATCACTGCATATTTCATCAAATGTAATAGAATACAAAACCATAAAACAGCCTCACTTACTTGGTGCGCGAAAAGACCGAACCACTCAACAACACTCCGAAGGCGTCCGCTTCCCGCAGCAGATTGGGCCTCCCTTACAATATAAACAGGGCTAAATTGCCTGTAGTAATGACAGATAGAGGACAGTCAACGACTGCACAAAGTCCCGTGTTTACTGTGTAACAAAGTTATTTTGATAATGTTGGTTTTACGTCTGATATATTCCTTTTTTGAAGCTATATCAAACTCAATTGTCTCCTCTTGTGTTGCACGGATGGCTTGCATTCGGGTTCCCCCTCCCTTTCGCTTCCAACCTCACTGTCACCAAGCCGCTAGTACAGTGTGATCCAATCCGGAAGCTACATCTTTGTATGTGACAGTGAATTAGCACTGCGAAGCAGTATTCTTCGTTGTGATTCGTTCAAAAGCCAACTAGACCCAAACACCTTCGCATTTCATTGGACTGTTGGTGAGCTGTGTCCTCTTTGGGGATGTCGAAGCCATTCATGTATTGCTCATTCAGTTGTCGAAGCTCCTGGAATGTAATAAATGTACAAACTGAAGGCAAATTGGGTGCTGAAATAAATAATAAATCAACCAATCAAATTGCATTTATATGACGCTTTTTACTAGGTGCTGGCCAATATCCCAAAGGAACAATTAGCCTACAGTGACAAGAAAAACAAAAGTTGAAGACCCTATCAATTGCCAAAATCGGCCCAAAATAAAGTGCATTCTATGCTGAATAAAAATATAAACGCAACATGCAACAATTTCATTGATTTTACTGAGTTGCAGTTCATATGAGGAAATCAGTCAATTGAAATAAATAAATTAGGCCCTAATCTATGGATTTCACATGACTGGATATACCTCTGTTGGTCACAGATACAGTGGGGAGAACAAGTATTTGATACACTGCCGATTTTGCAGGTTTTCCTACTTACAAAGCATGTAGAGGTCTGTAATTTTTTATCATAGGTACACTTCAACTGTGAGAGACGGAATCTAAAACAAAAATCCAGAAAATCACATTGTATGATTTTTAAGTAATTCATTTGCATTTTATTGCATGACATAAGTATTTGATACATCAGAAAAGCAGAACTTAATATTTGGTACAGAAACCTTTGTTTGCAATTACAGAGATCATACGTTTCCTGTAGGTCTTGACCAGGTTTGCACACACTGCAGCAGGGATTTTGGCCCACTCCTCCATACAGACCTTCTCCAGATCCTTCAGGTTTCGGGGCTGTCGCTGGGCAATACGGACTTTCAGCTCCCTCCAAAGATTTTCTATTGGGTTCAGGTCTGGAGACTGGCTAGGCCACTCCAGGACCTTGAGATGCTTCTTACGGAGCCACTCCTTAGTTGCCCTGGCTGTGTGTTTCGGGTCGTTGTCATGCTGGAAGACCCAGCCACGACCCATCTTCAATGCTCTTACTGACGAAAGGAGGTTGTTGGCCAAGATCTTGCGATACATGGCCCCATCCATCCTCCCCTCAATACGGTGCAGTCGTCCTGTCCCCTTTGCAGAAAAGCATCCCCAAAGAATGATGTTTCCACCTCCATGCTTCACGGTTGGGATGGTGTTCTTGGGGTTGTACTCATCCTTCTTCTTCCTCCAAACACGGCGAGTGGAGTTTAGACCAAAAAGCTCTATTTTTGTCTCATCAGACCACATGACCTTCTCCCATTCCTCCTCTGGATCATCCAGATGGTCATTAGCAAACTTCAGATGGGCCTGGACATGCGCTCGCTTGAGCATGGGGACCTTGCGTGCGCTGCAGGATTTTAATCCATGAAGGCGTAGTGTGTTACTAATGGTTTTCTTTGAGACTGTGGTCCCAGCTCTCTTCAGGTCATTGACCAGGTCCTGCCATGTAGTTCTGGGCTGATCCCTCACCTTCCTCATGATCATTGATGCCCCACGAGGTGAGATCTTGCATGGAGCCCCAGACCGAGGTAGATTGACCGTCATCTTGAACTTCTTCCATTTTCTAATAATTGCGCCAACAGTTGTTGCCTTCTCACCAAGCTGCTTGCCTATTGTCCTGTAGCCCATCCCAGCCTTGTGCAGGTCTACGATTTTATCCCTGATGTCCTTACACAGCTCTCTGGTCTTGGCCATTGTGGAGAGGTTGGAGTCTATTTGATTGAGTGTATGGACAGGTGTCTTTTATACAGGTAACAAGTTCAAACAGGTGCAGTTAATACAGGTAATGAGTGGAGAACAGGAGGGCTTCTTAAAGAAAAACGAACAGGTTTGTGAGAGCCGGAATTCTTACTGGTTGGTAGGTGATCAAATACTTGTCATGCAATAAAATGCAAATTAATTACTTAAAAATCATACAATGTGATTTTCTAGATTCCGTCTCTCACAGTTGAAGTGTACCTATGATAAAAATTACAGACCTCTACATGCTTTGTAAGTAGGAAAACCTGCAAAATCGGCAGTGTATCAAATACTTGTTCTCCCCACTGTACCTTTAAAAAAAAATTGGGCCTCACAATGGGCCTCAGGATCTCGTCACGGTATTTATGTGCATTCAAATTGCCATCGATAAAATGCAGTTGTGTTCGTTGTCCATAGCTAATGCCTGCCCATACCATAACCCCACCGCCACCATGGGGCACTCTGTTCACAATGTTGACATCAGCAAACCACTCGCCTACACGACGCCATACATGTGGTCTGCGGTTGTGTGGCCGGTTTGGACGTACTGCCAAATTCTCTAAAACGACGTGGGAGTCGGCTTATGGTAGAGAAATTAACATTCAATTCTCTGGCAACAGCTCTGGTGGACATTCCTGCAGTCAGCATGCCAATTGCGCGCTCCCTCAAAACTTGAGACATCTGTGGCATTGTGTGGTGAGACAAAACTGAACATTTTAGAGTGGCCTTTTATTGTCCCCAGCACAAGGTGCACCTGTGTAAGGATCATGCTGGTTATTCAGTTTCTTGATATGCCACACCTGTCAGGTGGGTGGATTATCTTGGCAAAGGAGAAAAGCTCACCAACAGGGATGTAAACACATTTGTGCACAACATTTGAGATAAATAAGCTTTTTGTGCATATGAAACATTTCTGGGATCTTTTATTTCAGCTCATGAAACATGGGACCAACACTTTAAATGTTGCGTTTATATTTTTGCTCAGTGTAAAATGAAAGCCACTGGGTTTGTTTGAGTGGTAAGGTGAAAGCAACCAACACTAGATAAAAGTCGGGGGAGGTGCATCTGCGACAGAGGAAAGTTGGACACTAATGTTGTTTTCCAACAGCAAGGCTTAGATCAACATGGCAGTGTTGCCATTGTTTATAAAAGTTGT